GATGCCATCTATACTTCATCTCTGGGCTGGAGAAACATACTTTGCTTTTGTTTAGGCCACCTTTTGGGGATCTCTTTTAATAGAAACTAAATGTAATTCCTGATACAGAACTTATAGAAGGTTCTAGATTTTAATTTTTAAAAATTTTATTATTATGATTATTATGATTTTGGTACTGATAATGAAACTCAGGACCTTGTGCTTGCCAGGTAGGCACTATGCTGCTGAGCTATATCCCTGGCCATAGAATTTTAATTTTTTAAAAAGGAACTTTTATCACATTTAGAAAACAAAAGGTTCATTTTCTAGTTCATTAAATATATTTCACGCAAGAATTCAGTGTTCAGCTCTTTTTGGGTCACACGGCTTCCTTCTAGGTTCTCTTTTCTCCTCACTGGATGAAGCAGGCTGGAGATGGCATAACGAGAGAAGTGTGCTTCAGTAGTAAGAAGTGGCATTCTAGCCTCTGGTCCCTGTGCCTTACCCCTGTCCTTCTGGAGACCTGGTTATGCGAGCCACCAAACCGCACTTATTTGCTGTCACTTGAGGCCAAAGAATCTTGAGAAAAGAAAAAGAAAGCTACAGAACAGATGTGTTCTTGTGTCATTTGCCTAATTTATCCACAGTGAAGTAACAGTAACAGTATAGATTTAAATTTAAATTCCTACAGAGGAAATTGATTTTTTCAAAAAAGATAATAACGAAGAAGAAAATACACAGGAAAAGTACCAGAAGAAAAAGATAAAAATAATGAGTCCCAGAATGCTGCCTAATTTATCAAACTTGTCAACAGCAGCAGTTAAGAGCAGAAATCTGTGCTTCAAGGAAACATTAGAAAGAAACCCAGACTTAGCTTATCAAGTTAGTATTAGAATCGAACAATAAAAAGTAGAAATAATTATCAAAAAAAACTTTATATTTCAAATAATTAAAATAGCCTAAAGATAATGCCTAATGTACTAACACTGTTAAAATTCCTCTGGCTAGGACTTCCGGAAGAATATGGCGGGTAGATAGCAGCAGCTATGGAGGCTCTCTGAGATGCCCCGCTTAGAATCCAGGAATGCTGCGGTATGAGAAGTCCTAAGCAAGGGGAGATACACCCTGCTGACACAGGAATGAACTAAGCTAAGAGAAACCAACTGGAAATCATAACAGGAACAGATAAAATCTCAGTGTGGAAGCTAGAACCCATGCCACTGGGAGCTGCAATTTGAATTTCCTGCTGCCACTGCTGTGTCCAAATCTGCAGGGCAGGGAGAGAGACACGTGAAAGCTCTGAGAGCGGGAATCTGCGAATAGAGTTGAGAGCAGGACTAGCAGGGAGCCCTACATCGACTTGCGGTGAGTGGCATGGGGACCCTTTCATACAGTAGGAGGCTCCAGCAAAGGACATACTGGGACCAGGCAGCCTTGCCCGAACAGGGCGCTGCAGTGACTTCAGTCGCATATTTCCCTCTCAAGCGGGATTGGTAGGGAGTGCCTGGCCTGCATGATGCTGCTGACTAAGACCCACTGACTAAGCTAGTAGGCTAGCTCAAAGCAGGTCCCAGTGCCTGGAGGTGTACCCTAGCAGTGAAGCCTTCTGTAGGTTGGCCTGGAGGGGCAGGCCCAGCAGAGGCTGCCCAGGTCTGTGTCTCCCTAGTACACTGCAGTGGGTGGGAACACCTGGCTGGCGCAATTCAAACAAACTGTAATTGAAAAAGAAAAAAACTGGGCCTTCTACATTCGCCTGTAGGAAAGGAATAAAAAGTATGGGAAGAGGAAGCAACAAGAAAGGGTCCTCAGTCCCCAATCCTGAGAACACTGACCCAGTAAAGGGAAACGCAAAGGAAGACAGAAAACATGCAATATCAGACACGGCACCAATAGGCATAAAGCGATATCTCCAGAGCCTCATAGACGAGTCCAAAAGTGAAGTATTTAACAAAATAAAGCAAGATATAAGTAGAATAGTGAGAGAAATGCCAAGCACTGCCCAAGAAAAAACAGATGGTGGAATGGAAGAACAGAAAAAAAGGGGAGAATTGTTTGATGGAGAAAATAGAGAAAACATAGAATACGTGAAGCAGGTTCAAAGAGAATACCAGGAAACTAAAAACTCTATTGAAAGCTGGCATAACAGCTTGAAAGAAACTAAGGATAGATTATCTGAATTGAGGGCAGATTTGTAATATGGGAGTATGAAATGAAAAACTTCTTAAAAATAACAAGAAATAACTGTTTAGCAATAATACAAAGGCTAGAAGATGATAAGAGGATCTATAACTTAAGAATTAAGAACATAAAAGAAGAAGTAGGGACTCAAACAAATGAACTACAAAAGCTATTCACAGAAATAATCCAAGAGAATTTCCCTAATTTAGCAAAAGGTAAAGATACTCAGATATATGAGGCATACAGGACCCCAGCCACCTACAACCCAAACAGAGCTATACCCAGGCATATAATAATCAAAATTCCAGAAATCCAATATAAGAACAGAATACTAAAAGCCGTCAGAGACAAGAAACAGATCACTTACAAGGGAACACCCATCAGAATTACAGCAGACTTCTCGGCACAAACCATCAAATCATGAAGAGCGTGGGGGGAAATAATTCAAGCTTTGAAAGATAACAACCTCCAGCCAAGATTGATATATCCTGCACAACTGTCCCTAGAAATTGATGGAAAAACAAGGTGCTTCCAAGATAGAGGAACTAGGGGAATTTGCAACCACCAATTCAACTCTACAGAGAATACTGCAGGATATTCTAAAAAAGGAAAATACCAAGATTCCAGAAACAGTGGCAGAGAGGCCACAATGAATGGAGCAGAAAGCGAAATGAAGAAGACAAACTGACAACAAATGACAGAAAAAGATCTCAACAGAAATGAGGCAGAGAAGATTGGGGGGTAGAACAGCTATTTTGGAGAAAACAAGACATCATAATAGCTAGTGCTGATTTAGTATCATCTTGCTTTGAAGTCCCATCAAGCTTTTATTCTTCTGTCTCCATCGGTCTTAACAGGTTGTATCTTATTGGATTTTATTGTATGTGATAATATAAGCAAAAAGTTTTATAGACAAGGAGATTATACAGAAACCATTGTTCATTTTCTGATAGTTGGTTCTAAATACCCTGTAATACTGTCATTCTCTTGAATGGTTTTACATTGTCTTGATATGTTTGGTGCTACAATATATGAAAAGTTATACTCAAAGATTTCAAGGAAAGCCACACTATAGTAACTACTTTTATGTCGGGATGTCTTGTGGTGAAGCACTGTTTTGCTTAAATGGTTATGCTTTGACCTGCGCTATTTTATTGTTATGCCCTCTTTTATCTCAGTCTCCTTTTTTTTTAATTATTTACTTTATTTTTTCTTTTTAATTAAGGGAAAAATAAAAAAAGCAGGATACATTATAGTAACCTACTTTTATTTCCTATTAACTTGATTTGAAACCCTGTATAGCCCTCACCATCTTGCTTTGACTGATTTTTCTCTGTTCTGCTTTGCTTGATAGTACCAAGTTTGAAAGTACAGGCAATCTTTGATTTTGACTGACAGCTTTGTTTTGCCATATTTGACTTTATTCTCTTCCAAAAAAAAAAAAAAGGTAATAAGAACTAAGGAGTAATAAAACCCAAAATGTGTAAATTTTGTTGTAAAAAAGAGAGGAAACAAAAGTGCTCTAAAGGATACAACTGCAAGTGTGTTTAGGGATGTTAAATAGCTGACCATATTAATGTTTTTGGTTGGATCATTGAACACAACTGTTTGAAGTCTCTCTGTTTGAATGTCCACTTTGTATGCTTTGATACTGTGACTTGAGCAACTATCTCTAAGATGATAATGTGTAATCTATTAACTGGTGATTTCTTACTGTTTTTTTTTTTTTTTTGTAGTTCTGTATTACTTGTACCCTTACACCGCTTTGTTTTGTTTTGTTTTTTCTCTTTTTCCTTTTAAGTAAAATTTAAAAAAAAGAAAAAAAAAAGAAAAATGTAATAAAAACGGAAAAAAAAAAAAAAGAAAGTATAGGCAACAACTGTAAAGACAGTAAGATTCATTATGACGCCCATTCTGGTTGACTATTATTTTCTTTTAAAGCCCCGTAATGTCTCTAATGTTTTAGTATTATTCTTTACTGTTTTGTTCAGTTTTACTATAAATGATGATATAGGCAATTCTTTTTAAGATAGTAAGAGGCAGTATGGTAACCATTGTTGATCACCTAGTATTTTGTTTTTACATTATCTATTATGTCCATCCTTTAGATTTGACTGACTCTGTTCTGTTATGTCACATTTGGTTTTAATCTCTTCAAAAAAAAAGTAATAAGAACTGTGAGAGTAATAAAACCCAAAGTGTGTAATTGTCATTGTACAAAAGAAAGGAAAAGAAAGTGCTCTAAAGAATATAACCCCATATATATTTAAGTGTATAAGATAGATAACCATAATACTGAGTTTTGTTGGATCATTGAACAGAACTGTTTCCAGTCTCACTGTTTGAAAGTCCACTTTATATGCTTTAATTTTGTAACTTGAACAACTATTTCTTTCTTTTTTTTTCTTTTTCTCCTTAAATAAAAAAAATTCCTCTGACTAATTAATATTTAAACATGGAAAACAGAAGGTATGTTACTACAATTTAATTCCTGATTTTTACCCCCTTTTTGCCATGCCCTGTTTTCTGCACAAGGCTGAAGTTCATTTTGTGAAGCATGGTATAATTTACTTATATTTTAAATAACATTAAGATTCCCCCTTGATTCTGACAGTAGAATAAAAAGCTCAAACTTAAGAAAGGCTTTGGAATGCAAACAATTACTTCACCCAGTTTTTTAAAACAGTAATAAAGTTTTCGGTATAACCCTCACTTTAAATATATAATCTTCAATTTGATTAAAAATCATCACCTAAAAAGCAAATCGTACATACATTTCTTAGAACATACATCTAGAGGGAATCGATGCATTAAAATGGGTATTTAGAAAAGAAAATAATTACCTTCGATGCAAGATTGTCTACCAGAGCAATCATGGAATTCTTGAACAAGGTGGCAGCAGTCAGGGGTCGCTTGGTCACCTCTGTAATGCTCAGTTTACCTTCGGGCCACATATTCTTCAGCACAGGATTTGAACTGAGAAGTATGGAAGAGCAATTCAAATGTTGCATTCAAATAGGTTGAATAAAAATGGCTAAATAATCCTGCTGAACTGTATCCTGGATGTCACAAATGGATTGAACTTAAAGACCTAATTGGAAGAACTTTTCTGTCCAGAAAATTATGCTGATATAATGACAAAGTCTGCACTACGAATTTTCCCAAAAGATAGCACATTTAAAAATTATTTAAGCTTCTATAAAATGACATATATACTACCTTGAAACTAAATTGATGTTTAACATTACTCTTATAATATGTATAGAAAACAAATTGACTTTGTGATGGTTGGACAAACCAATAGTAAGACAATATCATATCAGAAAGCATTACTGAAAGAAATACTCAGAATAGGTAACAGTATAAAAGGCAGCTCTTTCTAAAAATACAGAAGACGAATATAAAGTAACCATTTTTACATTGTCTTGCAGCAGATTGCTTCACTGCAATTGAATTTATGAACACATTTACAGGTAGTACTGGCAGTTACAGTATTTATTGATGTGACACTAGAACTGTTGCAATCCAATTCTAAAAATGTACTTCAGGCCAACTTCCACCTAAAAACATATATTCATTGTTTGGCTATGTGAAGATATTTTTAAAAACACAATCTCAAGTGTGATTTTGTTCTCATTTCATTTTAAAGTAATTGGAACTTAAAATGTTGCTTGGTTCCTGGAAACTCTCCTCTTGTTATAAACATTTTTTTAAAAAAATTGAGTGTTGAAAAAAGAAAGAATATGGGTGTTGGTTGTGAACTATGCTTACAACTGCTATGGTTTTGCCCCTTTTCATTCCCCTGTATAAACTGAGAAAATGGAGTTGGTTCTCCAAAGCATCTAGTAAGTTTCTGCTGCACAGGTTCTCCAGACAACAGCTGCAAAAGGGAAGGGTGGTGGACAACAGAATGAAGATGATGAGTGGTGATATAGGATCGACAGGGTCTGGACATACAGATGGAGCAACACTCCTGCCTCCTCCCTGTCACTGCAGGGATCTACGGTTCATGGATCTACTTTATAGTCCAATTCCAAAACATCCCAATTGTATATCTGCACCAATAAAAATGGCCATATAAATATGTACTGTTGTCCTTTAATTTCTGTTTTTTTGCTCTGTTTTTTTGAGTCACTGTTGCACACTGTAGCTCAGGCCGGCCTTTGAACTCACTATATAACCTAGGCTGGTCCCAAACTCTCAGCAATCCTTCTGCCTCAACCTCCTGAGTGCTAGGACTACGGGCATCTGCCAAAATGCCCCGCCATCCTTTAACTTTTCCGTTATTTTTTTTTTTAACAGAAAGATGCTTTAAGGTAACGTTTCTTCACTTCTAGTTCACATAGTGTGTAGATTCTTTTAGAGCACCCACTGACCATAATTTCCAGAGGGAATAAAACTATCCTTTATGTACTTGGAAAATTCGAACACATGCCAAAGGATTGAGGAGCACTGGATTTTCCAAATTGTGATTGTTTTGTTTGTTGTGGTTTGTTTAGGTTTAGTTTTTGGTCTTTTGAGACAAAGTAGTTCAGGATGTCTTGAACTTATTATCATTGTACCTCTGTCTCCTCAGTTCTGGGATCCTCAGTTCTGGCATGTGTCACCAGGTCAAACCCCAAATTCTTCTTCACTTTACTGTTGGCCATATTTGGATATTCTCATACTATGATTGTAAATGGAAGGAGTGGAAGGTTAACAATAAATGAAATAAGACCATATATTAAAATAGAACTGATACATAAGGGATCCAAACAGATTCATAGTGACTTTAAGAGGATGCACTTTTAAGCCAGAAATATAATAATAAAATGTTTTCACACATTTAAATACCAGACCCTTTTCTTTTTAAATTTTATTTAAAGAAAGACTAAACAAAACAGAAAATAGGTAGAAATAATACATATGTTCAGAGAAAAAAATAAACAGTAAGAAATCACTAATTGATGTTTACATATTGTCAGTCTACAAATAGTTGTTCAAGGTACAAAAATGGAACATGTAAAGTGGGAATTCAAGCAGCAAGACTGCAAACAGTTCTGTTCAACTGTCCAACAAAAACTTAGTAACATGGTTGTCAATCCTATACACTTAAACATACATGCAGTTATCCATATCTTCATTTATGTTTAAACAAACTAAAGCAAGTTAAAATTATTCTGAACAAAGAATAATAGTATTGCTGGATTTCATATCATGACACTCTGTGATCAGCACTGGGTACTGTAGTATCTTTTTTTGTTGTTGTTAATTTAATTTAAAGAAAGACTAAACAAAACAGAAAATGGGTAGAAATAATACATAATTTCAAAGAAAAAAATAAACAGTAAGAAATCACTAGTTGATGATTACAGATTGTCTTCTTACAAATAGTTTTTCAAGATACTAAAGTGGAGCTTATAAAGTAGGGATTCAAACAATGAGATTGCAACCAGTTCTGTTCAACTATCCTACAAAAACTTAGAAATATGGTTATCAACCCTACACACTTAAACATACATGCAGTTATTCATCTCTTCAATTATGTTGAGACTGAATAAACCCAAGCAGGCTAATATCACTCTGAACAAAGAATAATACTATTGCTGGGTTTCACATTATGACACTTCAGGATCAGCACTGGGTATTTTAGTGTCTCTTTTTCTTCAAAGTATCTGTTTGTTTCATCATGTGTCATAAGATCAGTTCTCATAAACTGTTTATAGATTCTATACATGCATGAGTCTTAACATGTACTTAAATCCTTTCTATATTAGAGGCAGAAACAAAACAAAGCAAGGCAAAACAAAACACATTCCTATAAACACATGAAATAAACATATAAGACCATTATACAAATCATTCTACCATGGTTCCTGTGTTGTCTCTTGTTATCTCCAATAGAATTGGCTATATCATCAAACATAGTATAATTGAATATATCATAACACTATTAACAAAAACACAACTTTGTATATAGTATAGAACTTCAAAAACTGGCAGTTATCAAACCAGAATGTGTATCGTAGAGTCTTGTCATCTTCAGTGTAGTTGCCTATACTCTCAGACTTGATACTAACAATCATACCAGTTTGAATAAAATCTTCTCTGCCTCATTTCTGTTATGCTCTTTTTTTGCCATCAGTTGTCTGCTTATCTTCTTCATTCTGTTTTCTGCTCCATTCATTGAGGCCTCTCTGCCACTGTTCCTGGAATCCTACTACTTTTCTCTCTCTCTAGAATGCCCTGCAGTATTCTCAGTAGAGTTGGATTGGTGGTTGTAAATTTCCCAAGTTCCTCTTTGTCTTGGAAGCATCTTGTTTCTCCATTAATTTCTTAGAGACAGTTTAGCAGGGTATATCAATCTGGGAGGGAGGTTATTTTCTTTCAGGGCTTGGAATATTTCGCTTCAGGTTCTTCTTGACTTGATGGTTTGTGTTGAGAAGTCTGCTGTTATTCTGATGGGCCTTCCTCTATAGGTTATCTGTTTCTTGTCTCTAACAGCTTTAATATTCTGTTCTTATGTTGATATTCGAGGATCTTGATTATTATATGTCTGGGTATAGCTCTGTTTTGGTTGTAGATGGCAGGAGTTCTATATGCCTCATATATCAGAATATCATTTCCTTTTCCTATGTTTGGGAAGTTTTCCTTAATTATTTCTGTGAGTAACCTTTATAGTTCCTTTGTTTGTATCCCAGCTTCTTCCTTCACATTCTTTATTCTCAAGTTATAGATCCTTTTGTCTTCTAGCCTTTGTATTGTTACTGCTTATTTCCTTTTTAAAAAGTTTTTTCATGCACCCACATTGCAAAACTGTCCTCTAGTTTGGATAATCTATCCTTAGTTTCTTTCAAGCTGATTTGCCATCTTTCCATAGAGTTTTTAATTTCCCGGTGATCTCTTTGAATCTGCTTCATGTATTCTATATTTTTTATATTCTTCATCAAATGGTTCTCTCCTTTGAGTTCCTACCTTCTTCTGTCTGTGTCTGCTTGAGGGGTGCTTAGTATCTCTTTTATTAATTTTCTTATATCTTGCTTTATTTGGCTAAATATTTCACTTTTGAACTCGTCTATGAGGTCCCAAATATATCTCTTTATGTTCACTGGCGCTTGTATGATATTGCATGTTTGCTGATCTCATTCTCCTTTGTATTTACCTGTCCTGACTCAATGTTCTCAGGGTTGGAACCTGGGGACTTTTTGTTGTTGCTTCTTCTTTCCATTTTTTTGCTTCTTCCCAGAGGCCCCAGTTTCTTTCTTTGTTGGTTACAATTCTTCTAAAGCACGCTGGCTAGATGACCCTTTATACTGCCATGTGCTAGTGAGTTACAGACAGGGACAGCTTATGCTGGGCCCTCCCCTCCGGCTGTGGCCTTCCCTGTATTACTTTGTGCCGCCTCCCCTCCGGGTCAGTCAAGCTGCTGTGGCCTGCACTGTGTTATTTCACACCACCTTCCCTCCCGATCAGTCAAACTTCTGAGGTTCCACTGGGTTAGTGTGGTGTGTGTCAGCACTGTAGGGACTTGATTTCGGATAACCTATTGGGTCTCAGCCAGGTCACGTGACCCAGGCCTAGCTCACTCCACCAATCCCGTTTGGGAAGGGAACAAGTGACTGAAGTCACTGCTGCCCCTTGTACTTGCCAGTCCTGCCCAGTCCCAGAATGTCATCTGCCGGAGCCCCCCTATTTATGGAATGGCTCCACTCTTGTCACTCACCACAGGCTGATGTAGGCACCGTGCCAACTCAGCTCTCTGTTCGGCTCGCTGACCCCGAACTTTTGCGCCTCCAGTGAGTTGAAGCGGCAGGATCTTGGATGGCTCAGCAAGTTGCGGCGGGACCTCGGATGGTTGGCAAGTCACCCGCTTAACTTCTTGGAATGAGAGAATTCATCTCGCTCTGTTTGGGGCTCCTCACTCTGTATTATGTTGAATTCTAAGTTGACTATCTCAGGGAGCCTCTGTAGCCACTTGTTATCTATCCGCCATCTTTGCTCCTCCTCCCCAGACACTTTTCTTAAAAGGACATATCCAGAAACTCAGTTTGTACAGAAGATAAGAGAGCTCTCCCCCATTCTCACACGTGCGTACATGCATACACCGACATACAATCCACAGAACTAGAGACCCAAGGATCACATTCATTAACTAACACATACAAACAAAACTAAAATCACATTGGGGAGGCTGGTTAGCTACTGAAGCATCAGAAAAGGCCAATGAGTAAAGATGGCCCATCTAAATACCACGCAGGCAGATTGATTTACCTGTAAGGATGTCAAGACTGCCCATCTTACACCGTGGCTTTCCCATTACGGAGTCACAGGTAATTAGGTGCAACCAACAGACTTTCAACCTTTTTACCCCTTTGGCAAGATCAGCTCCCTTGCAAAATGGATTCTCTTAAACTCGTGTCTTTAATTTTTAGATTTATCTAAGCTCCTTTGTTCTGACTCTGTGCTTACCAACTAAGCAGCCTGGATTCTGTGGATAACATTTTTCTGTCAATTAATAAATGAGATTTCTCACTGCTATTTGACATCTTGGCAGCTTTTCCAACAGGGAAAAGTAGCCTGTCACACCAGTGCAAGTATTCCATCCCATATGACCATTAGATTTTCAGTGGAAATAAATCTACATACTGCTTTGTTGCTACACTGGTCCTGGGTGCTTGGGCAATGCCAGTTCACCATTAAAAGCTACAACTGTTCTCAGTGAGCAGAATTTCTGGGGCATAACAAAGTTGCTAAAGTCATCAAGGTAACATCATTTTGTGTACTCTCTTGGTACACAAGCCCAGCAACACACTGTGACACAGCCATTGGCCAAATCAGTCTATTTTTCCAATTTGAAGTTTTAACATTTTCTACAGAAAGAAATGCTAGCCTCTATTATTTGTTCCTCAAAATGGGTGCATTTCACCTGATAAATGGAGTTTTTCTATGGCTGGCTCTTACATGGTCTCTTTTCCCATGTCTCTATACTTTTCTTACAGTGACAGTTCTATCATTATTCTTGGCCACTTCAACATCCACAAAAATAAACCATCTTCTAGCGAATTATCCTGAGAGCACTGTTTAAATATGATGCCTCTACAGTCCCATTTTCTGTATCCTTTCGAGCCTGTGTCAATCATGTATTTGATTTCACTGATCCCCAAAAACAGTATTGTCAGGAGTCTCACTGACCTTTAACTTAGCAAATGCGATGGGCATTCTTGGTCTTGTATCATTCCTGCTTTTGGTAGAATTTAACATAGTTTATAATTTTTTTCTTCCTGAAGCACTTTTTCCTTGGCTGGGCTTCCTGGTTTCTTTGGTCCCGCACTAGAACATTCAGTTTCCTTGCTAGTTCTTCGTTCTTTGCCTGACTAGATGTTGAAGTGTCTCATGGATTGTCTTTACACTCTCTCCCTAGGTCACCTCATGGAGTCTTAAGATTTTAAATATAATCAATATGCTGACCGTGAATTGGCATCTCTAGCTCCATCTTTCCTGAGGTCCAGAGGCACACATGACAACTGTCTATCTGGCAATTTCAACTGACTGCCCAGTATGTACTTGAAACATAACACACCCAAAACAAAACTCTTGACTTCCCACCTTTTGTCTTCTCATACCAGGCTCAGGAATAATCTTGGATTTCTGCCTTTATGTCACATATCCCATCCATCAGCATATCTTACCAACTCGCCAAGTATCACCCCATCTGACCACTTTTCACTATCTCTGTCACCGCTACACATGTCTCAAGCTGGATTAGTAAACTAGCTTCCTTTCTGGTGCCCCTCTTTCTACTTTTGTCCTTCACTGCATGTGTTTTGCAGAGTGATATGAGTGATCTCTCTACACTATAAATTACATCACAGCGTATCACATCACATCATATATCGCATCACATCATAAACCCCAATGGTGTTTCCTTGTATTTTGTCTTTATCTTGGCTCACACACTATGATCCAGGCCCTGCCCACTTCTCTAAATTCATTCTCTGCTGCTCTCTGGGTCCCTCATCCTGGTGTTAGCCACAGTGAACCTCCTGTTGTCAGTATGTTCAAACTCATTTCCACCCCAGGGCCTGGTAGCAGCTGTTTTCCCTGCCTGGATACTCTTCTGTCAGATCCTCAATGGCTACTGCCCTTACTTCATGCAGGTCTCTACTCAGATGGCATCTCAGTAAGAGGACCTGGCAGGCCTCTCTGTCTACAGTGCCTCCCCTGCCCCCCCCCACTTGTACTCTTTCATCTCTTACTATTTTAATTTTCTGCATAAGATTTGTCACACCTGAAATTTATTTGCTTATTAACTGTCATCTTCATGGGGTTATAAACTCCATGAGGGCAGGGATGGTGCCTAAACTGTGCTATAACCCAGAACATAGAAGAACATGTGGCCTAAAGGTGCTTAATACATTTTTGATAATTAACGACCAATTGACTGGACAGATTTAATAAATGAGTAAATACATTCCCAGAATTGTCTTTCTTCTTTTTTTTTTTTGGTACCAGGGATCAAACTCACAACCTTGTGCTTGCCAAGCAGGTACTTAGGCCACTGAGATAAATCCCTGGCCCTTCTTTCTTTTTCACAAGCCTTCTCTCCATACTGAGTTTAAACCTGGGATCATTTGCTAGTTTTATTTTGACCCACTTTTTCACACACATTAGTGAGAAAACCCTTTGCCCAGCTAGGATTGGTGCTCATTGCAAAGACACTTCAGTGGGAATCTGAAATGTAAAGCCTCCAGATGAGCCAGAGGTTACTAAACATTTTTGTCACCAGTGGCCTGTGTACACTAGTGGTGGTTACTGGAGGGCTAGTGGCAATAAACAGCAAAATGGAGGTCACTCAAGGGAAATCAAAGAAAATCACATCAATGGCAGGTCTTTGTGCCTAAGTTTAATGATTTTATAATCTGAAAGCCTTATATTCTTTCATTTAATAAGCATAATAAAGTAGAAATAGAAAGTCTGCCAGTAACTTTTTAAACATTATTATATATTTTATATTCTATTTTTCATTATTTTTATATATTATATATTTTATATTATATAGTGCAATATATGTCAAAGAGTTTAGTGCAAAGATAATTAGGAAAATATCAACCATACCTGTTATACATAAGGCGCTTGAAGTCTTGAAATAAAGTATCTTTATTTTTATCAATAAAACCAATGACAGAATAGCTAACAGAGAGAAAAAAAAACAGAAACCATGCATTATTTCCCATACAAGAGCACATCTAAGCTTCTCTAGGAGTCAATAAGCCCTTAGACTGTTAATTATGCAATCAATCATCTAAAAAGCTAGTATTGTCCACCTAGTTCCGAGTTAAAGGACACCCAACTTACTAAGGAGAAGAGACTCTGTTTCTCCTTTTTAGAAGGAAAGCCAACAGTAGCCTCATCATTCTCAGATAATAATCTTCTATAGGTTGTTGCTTACCTCAAAAGATGACTTTTAAAAAGATAGCTGTATTTATCATTCAGCTTTCTTAAGATAAAAGCAACACACGGGGACTAATCGTCTCATCTGCTGCGAGGCCAGTGACTCACCTAAGTATCACTCAGTGTTCAGGGTAGGATAAAAGAATCCAAGAAGCACTGCAAAGGACGGTGAGAAATGGGTAAGCAGAGGAGAAAAAGGCAGGCAGATCACACAAGGAAGCAGACAGATGAAAGGGTGGGAGCAGGCACATGCAGAAGCTCTGGAAAGAAACAAGCCTGGAACTCAGGACTGGAAGGAAGGGGAGAGTAGGGGGTTCACAGTCCAGGTGAGATGGTGCCCACAAGAAGAGTGAGTGTGGGAGCCGCGGTGCTGGGGCGGCTTCCAGGAGGAGCACACTCCATGCTGGGTAGAAGAGGAACCTTGTTGTATTTAAGAAGAGGCTAGAAGTTTAGCAAATAGTAACTCTACTGACAATCTGTGGTTACAGTTTTCTGTCTTGCCCGTCTACATTCTCTTCCTTGACAATCACAACACAGTAGAAAATTCTCACTTCTCTAGTGCTGATCCCTTGTCTTACATATTTAATTCTCCAAAAAAATGCCTTTTTTTTTGAGACAGGGTTTTATGTAGCTGGCTGGCCTTGACCTCACAGGGATCCTCCTGCCTCTGCCTCCTGAGTGCTGAGATTACAGGTGTTTGCCACTATGCCTGGCTTGCAAGAAAATTCTTTTAGGCTGTGCTGCCCATAGACACTTGAAGGACACCATGTCCAAATTATTTCCTTACCTATCCCGACCTAGGTCTTTTTCCTAATACCTTCATGTCATTTTTGACTGAATTTTTGAGATCAAGTGACTCTTTTTTTTTTGGTCTTTTTCCTTTTTATCGGTACCGGTGATCGAACTCATGACTTCCTGCTTGCAAGGCAGGTGCTTATGCCGCTGAGCTAAATCTCCAGCCCCGGTCAGGTAACTCTTATTCAAACCCAAACAACTCAAAATTCAAGTACTTAGTTTGGATTTCAAGAGTTACTGTGAATGATCTCAATCTGTTTTTCTAGTAGATTTCTAATCTGTGCTACAAAATTGATTAACTCCAACTAAACCCAACTAAAAGGACTTAGCTGCTACTTCCTAAATATTGTTTAGCATTTTTCCCATTTCTTTACAAAATAATTCCCAGCATCCAAAGATGCATCAGTCTCCCTGAGTTTACCAAAACATCTAAGAGTATTGTACTGTTTCTTTACTTGAATTCTTGCTATTATTCATATGACATTCAGACCACCTTTTATTGCAGGAATATGTGTATTATATGTGTGTTTGCAGAAATACACAAACATACATATATATGCTTCTTTGCAGAAAGGCACCATGCTTTATAAAGTATTGTGTACACAGAAGAGAGTAGAAAATCCAGAAGCAGATTGAAGGGCTGAAGGAGAGAAAGAGAAGCCATAAGCAACGATTATCGGCATTCTGGACTGGGAGTCTTGTTACACTGTCTGACTTCTTCCATAAACCTGCTATGTGACCTTGGGTGAGAATTTTACTTCTTTGGAATAAGTCTACTACTCTAAAATAAAGAGGCTGGACAGGCAATGTTGTGTGTGTATGGGTGTCTTCAGACCTCTGTCCGGCTTCACATTTATGCTGTTTTGCATTATGAGACAGAGCACTACATAAGTGAGATTTGGATTTTCAATGAGTATCTGTATGGTGCTGGATCCTCTCTCCTTGGTACTCTGAAACCTGGCAATAGGACCAGAGAAAGTATGATCTGGTGCCACTTTAGCGCTGATGGTCAGTTTGACAGTTTGACAGGTATAATAATTTTAAGGCACATTATCTTACGATTCTAGAGTTTTATTTTAAATAAGGAATAGCTACTCAAATTCTTCAAATGTCTTTTCAGTATTTACAGAAATTATTGTTTGCTTTTTTCTTTAATTTCTTCCTATAATGGGTTACATGGAAAGAATTTCTAATGGGAAAATAAGGAAAAAGGAAGAAAGCACATCAAACAGTATAAAGAGCAGTGTTCAATGAACAGAGAACACATACAAAATTTAGTAGGCTGAAAAATGATTTCCTTCCTCAAACAAAAGATTCCCACATTATTCCCTAGAACCCAGGAATGTACACTTCTACAGTAAAAGATGTGGTTATACTTGAGGATCCTGAGAAGAGCTTATCCTACAGTATTCAGAGGGGGTCCCAAATGTTTTGACAAGTGTTCTTTTAAGATAAAAGCATGAAGATTTAACTGACACATGAAAGAGGAGGAGGCAACATGCTACAGAGGTAGAGACTAGAGAGATGCACCCAGAAGCCAAGTAATGCCCACAGCCACCAAAAACTGGAAAAGAGGCCATATTCTCCCCCCAGCAGCACCTCTAGAGGGGTGTGGTCCCTGTCAATGCCTTGATCTGATCTGGGCCCCAGAACTGTAAAAGTGTATCTTCTTGGTATTTTAAGAGACTGATTTAGGATAATTTGTTATAGGAGCCTTGATATCTAAGATATTTGTTATAGAAGCCTTGCTATCTAAGACATCAAGGTAGTTGTATTTTTATATCAATCTCTATTTTTACTGCAATCAGAAAATGTCTCATAAACATTTTAGTACTTCAAATATATTTGAAAAATAATATAGTAAGAACACTTTTGCTTATGTAGTTACCCAGTTTACTCTTAGCTCTTCATAAAAAAAGGGTGATTAGCATCTCTGAACCTTGTCATGCTGTTTTTCCTCTTGCAATATACATAATATGTGTCCAGTAAAAGTTTATAAAGTAAGGGATGAATTGAGTTATGCCATTTTTTTCACAAGTGAAAAGACTGAAATATACTGGCATATGAAATGATTGGAAAATGCAAATGAAAACAGCTGACAGCTTCCCTGGTTGCATTTTCCTAGGTGAGGCTGCATGCAAATATGCTAGGTAATGAAGATGCTCACACCACAAGCAAATCACCATGCTAGGCAGTGAAGAAAAATACTCACACTACATCACCTGCATAATGCCGGATTCGAAAATCTCGATCAAACTCCAGGATTTTGTCTGAGGCACAGAGCTAAGAAATCAAGAAGGGAGAATATTTTGAAGACACACATTTTCATATTCCTAAAGGTGTAGTCTATCCTAATATAGGATGATCATATCACAAATCATATCATGAATGAAATCAGTGTATGCGGCTTGACTTAAATATCTGGCTTACATGGTCCACACTGAACTCTTGTCAGAAATCCACATTGCTGGACTTCATTTGCTGGCTACATCTGCAGTTAACATCCAGTGACCAAGTCCTGGACAGTGGAAGTGAAGGGTGGCTGCTTCAGGTCCAGGCTAGTGTGAAGTGAGTGACCCCCTTTGTACCAGCTGGATGCAGAGGGTAGTCCTCAGGGGAGGGGTTAGCCAGATGTTGGAAGAAGCTTGGGTCCTTGATTAGAGGGACAGTTACTTTCTTCTGACACTCAAATCTTGGTTACTATCTTAATGCAGCCCAGCCTACTCTGACTGATACGGTATCTTTTCCCTAAATTACAAAGATTCACTCTGAGGGCTTACTATTCACTAAGCATATACATCTGAAGCAGCCCTCACGATCTGCACTTGAATAAGTACTGTATTAAGATCTTTCTCATACACACATGGAGGTTGAGGCTCACAGAGGCTAGGTCAGCGATGACAAACCTTTTAGAGATTTCAGTGATAAGAAACAGCTGGCTGCAGCACATGTGCCATAGGTTCACCACCACTGGGCTAGGTAATTGGAACAAGATCACACAGCTAGTAGGTGGTAGACCTGCGAAGCACTCCTGAAACTGTTATAATGTTTATGCTCTTCTGTGTACACAGTAGACTGGCTCATCTGTCTGCTGGGGTGGGACTCCTGTTCAGGTCTTCCCCTTCGTATAAAGTCAACCTTCAACAGCTCTTTCTCAACTCTCCTCACTTGGGAATAGTTTTATGGAAGGGTGGTTTCTGCATGGCTCTGAAGGTCTGTGTTACTTCCTGCAATCTTCCTTGTTATATCAGCCCTTAGACTCTGTCAGCCCTGTGAAGGATCAATACGCAGCCCATCGGCTTTAAAGTAGAAATCTGAAAATCCATACAGTACCAAGTATGGTTACATACAAAAACCACTCAGATTTTAATGTCCGGTAACAAAAAGTTCCAATCAGGATGGTGAGCTCTGCATTGAGAATCAGACTGCTAATGGCATAGTCTCTTAATCTGACAAGTGAGTAATCACAGGAAATTAGAGATGGACTTCTGAGGTTCAAATTTTGGCTCTACCATCTCCTCACTCTGTCTCCTGTAATATTGCTTTTCTCAGAGAGCTGTTACAAAGGTTAAATGAACTATGGAGACCAAAGCATGTAATGTACAGAGGAATTATTACAATATGTATTTTCTTTTCTTCTAACTAACCCCTTTTATAAAACTCTTTTATTTATAAAATTCTTAAGGCAAAAGGACCTGAGGGAATATTCTTACATTTGGATACACTGTAAAGTTTTAATTAGTCTGAACACAGAAAGTTTTAGATTTTTTTACTTATTTTTAGAAGTTATGTTTTTCTCAATTAATTTTTTGTTTTAAAATATTTTATTGGTTATTGGATCATCTGCATGTTTCTTCATGATAACTTTAATGTATAAGAAATTATTTAGCTCCTAAATGTAATAACTATTACAAGCCAGAAATTCTTTTTAATATGTCACTAAGTCTAATTAATCAGTAACTAGGAGCAAAGGACATTACATGGCTCAACAGACAGGGCTAATGGCATTTATTTAATAAAAAGGTTCATAGTGAGTAAAATATCTTGACAGCCTGGTTATTTCATTTTTTCCCCTTTATTAGGCAATCTGAGGACTCGTTTTGGGGAAGCCAGAAGAAACAGGCAACTGGTCTGAGATTTGGGAAATCAGGGTTTCCATTGGGAAAAAAAAAGACATCTCTACAGATAAATTACTGTTTAGCATTTTCTATCAACTCAAAGTGGCAAGTATTTAAAAGTACTATATATAACTGCTCTTAAGAACAAGAATACTTCACAATACTTAGTTGACGAATCTAATTCTTGTATATAAATGGCTAAGGTGAATGATATCACAATGAGATGGATATCATTTCACACAAGATTAGTATTCATTTATTCAAATGAAGATTTAAATAATATTTTTTGGTAATGTCTGTAATGGCTCAATTCAACTTTACAAACATTGACTGAGTATCTATCATCTGGTAGACACAATGCTGGGTGAGTCTCCAAAACCTGAACTGTGATTACAATGAACATTTAAAAACTATCTCTCAAAGACAGGACATTTGCCTGGGCAGTTCTGGCAGCTTTAAATGTGTCACTCTAAATTATTCAGGTTGCTTCTAACTTTGCACACTGTACTGTCCCCAGCATGGAGGACTATACTTGAAAACAAGAGGCATCCATTAGATATCTGGGGTACAAATTGGGGAATGACTAAAGGAATACCTCTACAGTTCAGATCTGTTAAATCAAAGATCTATCTATCGTATTTGGAGGTCAAATTGTGGCATATTACAAGTCAATTCTCAGTAACAGATCAAGGAGAATATTTTACAAAAACTGGCCTGAAATAAATATTGCCTAGAAATCAATTTCTTGATGTTCTATGCTTTGTCTAGTTAATTGTGGAATTTCCTTGTTCTGACTATGTAATTTCAAAGGGACAGTTAGAAAATAGATTTATTCATGTTAAAAAACAGCAGTGCAGAGGAGCAGAAATGTTTGTCCCTTGCCTTACAGATGTGAAGCAGTAGGAATCTGTTTTCCCTTCAGCTTCTGGTTGGAAGACAAACCTGTATTTGTAGGGGAAATGGGGTGAAGATGGTGTGTCCTTCCTTAAAACAGATTCTAAACAAATACTAATGGTAACATGCAAAGTCTGGCACAAAGTTCTGAAAACCATAGTTGCCACCAATTATTACAGAAATGCAGTTTCTTTATGACATTTTTAAATTGTGAAAAATACAATTAAAAGGCTTCCTCTTACTGAATGAGTTGCTCTGTAACAACCTGAATTACAATTAGATTTTGTGTTTTCAGAAGTCACATGGTCTAAAGATCCACGGCAGAGCACATACCACATTTTGTACATGAGGATTACAGTAAAATCAAGGACAAAAGCTCGTTTCTGTGCCAGAATTATCAGATGCAGGGGTAAAATTCTAGCACTCTAACGAGGACTCTGCACCTATTGGTTATAAATGACATCATGGTTTCTGAAGAATCTTATTCATTTTTCCCATTTCGAGCACATAGGATGGTCTGGAGCTCCCTCTGCTGGACACTATGATTTTATCAATCTTGTCATTCTATAAACCAAACTGGCAGAATTTAAGACAGCAATTAATCAATTAATGGATGTGTATGGCTTCTCTTTTTATTAGAATGGACAGTCTTTGAACTCAGCATATATGGTCACTTAACTCTTGAACAGTGGGCAAAATCTTACATACAAATTAAGAAGAAGGTTGTATTAAATACACTACCTTTCGGCTGGAAAAATGGACGTGTTTACCCAATTTACTGTTCAGAGCTTCCAGGAACATTTCATCGGTGACTTTGCCAACATTCATGCAGGCGTCATCTAGGATTGCAATGATGCCCTTGTGCTGCTGCTCAACAAGGTCCACGATGATCTGGTTGTTGAAGTAATCAATCTGTAAGACATGGGAAGGAAGCAATGTTCAAGAGGCCAGGTCAGGTGACACACAAAGATCATCCCCACCTTGTTTCAGGAGCTCAGGTAAAGCTGCCCTGATGTCAAATGTGTGACTGAGAATACCGAGGCCGGACACTAAAGTCAGTACGCATTCTAATAGATGTCTACTTTACAATTCCTTTTCTTGGGGGTGGTGGTGAGATTGAACTTAGGATCTCTGAACTGAGCTATCTTCTCAGCTCTTTTTTTTCATTTTGAGACAAGGTCTTGCTAAGCCACTAAACTGCTCAGGCTGGGCTCAAACTTGTGATCCTCTTGCTTCAGCCTCCTATTTAATTTTTTCTTAACTTTATGACACACCTTGTCAGACATGAGGATAGCTCAAGTCATAAATTCTAAGCTCAGCAACATCTCTTCCCTTACTAACCCTGTCTTTAGATCTCAGCCCTACTCCTTCACACACTCAGTCCCCCAATCGTTTTGCCATGAACCATAAGATCCAGCTTCCACCAAGTGTCAATCAATAACCATAATGTATTATTTGATATTCTATTTGATAATGAAGTTAAAATATTATACAAAACTTGCAGTTTTACTCATATGAGGTTGAGCAACTAACACAACAAAAGCATTTCTTCCAGTTTTCTGAAAGTTAAACGCATAAGTCTAACAGAATTCTGACATTTTCTGAATACACTATTTAAAAATGATTCCGAGATGTAAACATCTATAAAATGTAACACTTTTCATTTACTTTTATGAACTGAATGACGTTATAAATAACTTCTGGTTTTTATCAACTTCAGTATATAAAAAGGTTGGGCAAAAATCTTCCATTACATATGTTCATTCTGACGATAGCACACCTTTGATCATGCATGCATGGAGAGCACTCTCTGGCCTAATGCAGGCAAGCTGTGTGTCACAAAAATGGGCAGTGTATTAGCAAATATTTCTATCTTGGGTGTTATGTGTCCCTTCTCATACAGAATGTATGCTCTAAACTGAGCACTGTGCTCATCAGCTTCTGAAGTTCTTGTTATAATCAAACATTGAAGTGCCAAATATACTCCTATCCCATGCTTTCAAATCCTAGGAGTTATTTGACTGTGGGTTTCAGCACCATTCCTAGTGTTGTGAGTTCTCATTTGTCCCATGAACTTGGAATGTGGAGAACCCCTGTTCAAATAGTTACGTTTATTGTAGGTATCTATTACATTTTCAAATAGAGAGGAAAGTTATTTCTATCTCTGGATAAAATATCCTAAAAATACTCAAAAAGCAGGAATTCTACATAAATAAGAGCTGTTTTCTTAGATTTTGGGGCTACAGAACTGAAGACTAAGTCTTTTCCAGGACAAAATTAAAATTCCAATTATATTAGAAGCTACTGATGTTTGGTGTATACTCTGCTAACTCTTAGGCTAAGTTTAAGGCTGCTTCAAACATTGCTGAAAGACATGGCTTTCAAATCACAAGTTACTCCAACAACCTGGCATTCCCTGGAGGTTTCTTAAGGGTTACAGGGAGCCAGGAGAGATGTTATGGAATGACAGAGGGACACAGGACTCTGGTTTCCCATTCCCTCTCCATATACAATGTCTCTGTGCAACAGATTTATCTGCTATACCTGTGGAATCTGAATAACAAGTTTTGTGATGAAATCTGCCATAAAATCTAAGCTTCAGTTATATCATATACTATATAATAGACACATTCTTAGAAAGTTTTATATAAACTTAATTGAATTACATTTTAAACATGCTATGAGTGTGCACTTAAGTGTCAAGTTCCCATAGTTAAAATGATCTGTAAAGTAAACCATCAAAAGCTTTTAAAATGAATCTGAGGGATAGCCAGACATTATAAACCTCATAACAGAAGCTGAAACACAGTCCATGAAATAGGGTATGGGAAAAAAAAATCCAGAATCCAGTCAAGACTTTAAATCTAATGACCAATGTAAAGGACATACAAGAAACAGAAACATATTAAGTGATACCTCAGGAATGAGATTAACAAACTCCAGATTGTGGGAACCACCACAGAACAAATGCTCTCTCTTTTCAACAAAACATTGTAAAAGAGGAAAAGGAAAGGAGACACAGACAAAGAGGGAGGGAGACAGGGAAGCAGAGAGAGATGGGAGGAGAAAATTCATAAATGTAGAAGAAACCTCTCTACCAATCACAATGTAAAAACTTTACTTGGATCCAAATTTTTAAAAAACTGTAATCAACAACAACTACAAGGCAACTGAAGAAATGTGAATATCACCTGGATGGCTGATAATGTTAAGGAATTTTTGTGATAAGAATACTGCCGTTATAATTTTCATCTTTCAGAAAACATACTGAAGAATTTACAGAGGAAATAATGAGATGTTTGAGATTTGCTACAATGTATCCGGAGGACACATGGGTAGGGTATAGACAACATGAGAAAGATAGTTACTGATAATTTAAGGCTGGGTGAGGACAAATGGAGTTTATTCTAATATTTCTCCTTACATGCACATTGGAAATTTTCCATAATAAAATAATTTTAAAAACAGTCACTATGTTCAGAAGTTTGGGGTTTTAAACAGGAGTACCCTAAGGGCTGGGAATTTAGCCCAGCGGCATAAGCACCTGCCTTGCAAGCAGTCAGTTGTGAGTTCGATCCCCAGTACCGATAAAAAGGAAAAAGACAACAAAACAAAACAAAACAAAACTCAAACAAACAAAAAAAACCCCCAGGAGTACTCTATTAGAAATTCTAATTTTGATGGGAATTTCATGTAGTAACTGTTACCTTGGGGTTAGCTTTGGTTCTCTGGAACAAATACTTCTTGGTCTATTTAGCTAAGAATTTCTGTGTTTTCAGCGTTTTTGATCCTTTTCAGATGTTTGTAACAGCCTATTATAACTGCTACTTTTCCCTTCATCAACTAAGCCTATAGATTCAACACTGATTGTTAAAAGATACTTCTGACTGGGACCATTGAATCAAGTCTAAAGAACAAGTTTTATAATGAAGTTTGCTTTTAAAAAAATGGAAGCTTTGGTTATACTGTATACTATACAACATACTCTTAAGTTAATTTAAACTTAGTTACATTTCATGTGTGCTATAAGAGCTCATTGTTTAAATGAAACTAAGGTAGCCCTTATATGAAGCAACTGACAACTCTTGGGTTTATTTGTAAGTAGGTAAAATTTTCCCATGTCATATAGGCTTTTTACTGCTATTACACTGGATACAGAGAAACAAACACTGACTTTATGGTATAACTAGACGATAAACACAAACTTATAGAAACTTGAAAGTTAGCACTTCTCCAGACCATTGCTGAAACTATTTTAAAATACACTAAGAAAAATTACTCAGTCTCTTCTGGGCTGAGGATTTAATGATAGGCAACAAGGAAGCCAAGCAAGTCATTCCTTTCAGCTGTGATCTGTGGGGTTTGGGATCTGTCATTCTCTCTGACTATATCTGACAAGATTACTTGCTCTGGCTATTATAAAAAGTTTATAAAAAGCCATGACCAAAGAGATGATAACTAAAGAAAATAAATGGAGATGTAAGATAATGCAGGTATCCCAACATGCAAGTTTCAGAGAATATGACTGTCATTAACTGACGACAGTGAAATGCCACTTAGTTTACAAATTTTGAAGAAAAAAGGAAAGAGGGAGGGAATAAAAACAAAATTTGGAAACAAATTTCTACAAATTTAAGGTAAAACAACTTACGAAATTTGATAAAAACACAGTGTTTAATTTTTTTAAAATGTTGCAGTAAAGACACATTGCTATGAATTTCTCTCAAAACACTGCCCCTAGCTTTGACATATTCATCCTGTCGTTCTTGCCTGAAAGTCCTATATCATTTCCTTCTGAGGTATGACAAAGAATACTGTACAGTACACACAGTTGCCAAGTACCATCCAACAGAAAGGCAGGCTCATAAAAACACAGCAATATGGCCTCATCCTCTTTATTCACTGGATTTAGTACCATGTGATTCCTGGATCTTCCCCACAGTCAAAATAAACATGAAAAATAAACTTTTTGAATTGATTCAGAACTTGGAAGCAGCCGTGACAGTGCAACTAAAGATACCCATGAAAGAGGACTTCCAGAACTGCTTCAGAAAGTGGCAAGAACAACAGGATGTATATTCAAAGTGGTGGGGAGGGTCTTGAGGGGATTAATGGCATGTGTTTATTTAAACATTCACTGTATACTTGGATCATACCTCATACAAATGCTACTAAACTCTAGTAGACACATATGAACCAAGAAGTGCTTATGGTAACCAGACATACAGTGACGCTATATTTATTGGTTGAAAATCTGCATGTTCTGGGCACTAATGAGTGAGTCTATCAAACTGTAGAAATTCACCAACATCCATGCAAATGAACTGGATTTATATATTCCCAAAAGGAAAGCTAAGGTTCAGATGTTTCAAGTACCCAAGGAGATCAAGAAAGACCTAGAAGGATAAGCTCAATATGCTATCAGCAGCACATGAGACCCAGGAGATATTTTCCAGCAGCACTTACATGCTTCCACGGGATGCCTTCCCGCTGGTATTCCTCTTGTTCCTGCTTCAGGACCAGCTGAATGAACAGCTGCTGCAGCTTCTCATTGCAGTAATTGATGCAGAACTGTTCAAAGCTACACAAAAAGGGATAAATTAAGATTAAACAAATAAAACAAAAGGTTTTATTTATTGATTGATTTTTCCTGTCTTTTTCAGACAGGGTCTCACTATGCAGTTCAGGCTGGCCTTGAACTTCCTCTGTAGCCCAGGCTGGTCTTGAACTTCCAATGATTCTCCTGCCTCAGTCTCCTGAGTGCTGGGATTATAGGTGTGCACCACCAAGACTGGCTAACAATAAGGTTTGAAGTATCTTAACCAGTTTACCTGTTGTTGTCAAAGATTTCAAAGCCATAGATATCCAAGACACCAATCACGGTGTTTTTCCCGTGGATTGTGGTGTCATAGTTCTTGACCTCAATAATGTCATTGATGCGAGTGACGATCCAACAGAAAAGGCGCTCATATATTGCCTGTGAGGAAAATAACACTGTAACTCCTTGCCTGCTTGAAAAAGAGACCTCTTTTTGGATTTGTGATGTCTTAAATTCTAGTCTACCATTTCCTTACTATTTAGTATAAATGGCTTGAGTATTTTTTTCTTTTGCAGTGCTGGGATGGAATCTAGGGCCTTGCAAATGCTCTACCGCTGAGTTACACCCCCAGTGCTCCTAAAATACTTTATTTTGAGACAAGGTCTTGCTATGTTGCCTAAGCTGGGCTTACACTTGCCATCCTTCTACCTTAGTCTCCTGAGTAGCTGCGATTATAGACGTGAAATACCATGCCTGGCTAGTAATTTGGACTTTTAAACAACTATCAATTACTGCATATATCCCAACTACATTACCAGGCATGTTCCCTGCCCTATTATGTTGATAATATGCTTATTTCCTTGTATAAGCCACATAATTGTTTCATTGTTAATTTCATCAACTCTAAAATGCCAAATTAATAGTCTACTAAAATTCTGAATTCCAAAACCAGAAATACTGAATTCTAATCCTAAATAAGAGTCTGAGAATCAAACACACACTCACGACCTAAAGACACGCATTCTAAGATGCCATACAGAGCACATACATGTCCTGATACACCATGATCTGTAATGCCATATCTTTATTTTTTTAATAATTTAAAGAGAATAAAACCAACCAAAATAAAACAGAAAAAAGCCAATTAAAACAAACTGTGCAAGTGATACGGAATTTCAAAACAAGGTAACAGGAAATCAACAATGAGTATCGTAATGCCTCTTGTCTTCAAAATAGCTGCCCATCAGACATAGTAAAATCAAAACAGAACAGAATAGAACCAATAAAAAAAAATGAACGCAATACAGGACTTCAACCCAAGATAACATCTTGTTTGATTTTATTATATCTGATGGCATGGACAGCTATTTCAAAAATAAGAGATATATTATGGTAGCCATTGTGGATTTAATGTTACATCTTTAGAAAGCCCTTTCTGGCCTCCCCGCTCCAGACACCCATTCTCTTCTCCTGTTTTCACCACCCTTTATTCTCTAACCTTCTCCAGACTTCACTGATGTTCTATTACTTCACTGACATGGTTCACCAAAGAACCCAAAACCTCTGTACACATACTTTCTTATAGTATATGAACATCTCAGCTTCTCCGTGTCACTCAACCTACTTTTCTACTCTCAAAATACTTTTCTCTCTGGGGTATATAATACCATCTTTTCTTAATTTTCTTTGCTTTACTGGTTGATCTTCAGGGTGACTTTTGGTAGGCTTTCCTCCTCTACTTGACCTCTAAAAACTGGAGTTCTTTCTCATTCTCTTCTCACTCTTTAATACCTTTTGAGTTATTTCACCCAGTATTCAGTAAGACTGATATAATCTGACTCCCAAAAGTGTTCTTACCACCCAGACCCAGACCCAGACCCAGACCCAGACCCTGACCCAACTGTCTGGCTCCAAACTTAGAGCTTGACTCTATCCTACAGTGATTTGTAAATGTTTCATACCCACTTCAAACTCATGTCCTGTCAGAATTCTTAACTTTCTTCACCTCTGAAAACTGTTCTTGCCCTGCTTTGAGCCCCAAATAAATTGCACAAAATGCTTAGGAACTCATTCGTTCATTCAATAACTATTCGCTGAGGATTTACCTCATACAGTTGGTTGGAGACACAGCACTAAGTGAACACAAACACAATTTCAGTCTCCAAAAGGCCTAGGGAGCAGAGTGAAGGAAAATATATGTACATACATCCTCTCTTTCTGTCTCTCATTTCATTCATGCTAAAAAAACAGTGCATGGTAGCTGAGGGAAATCTAATATATTCAGTGCTGCAGGGGCATGGAAAGCTTCTTATAGGAACTGATGCTTGGGCTAAGATCACCAAAATAAGTAAGCAGCAGCAAGGCAAGAGGTGAGAGAGGACCAATCCATGCAGTAGAAATAGCATGTGAAAAGGTCCTGTGACTGGAAGGAGAAGGGAATAAGAGTAACTTGTGAGGCTTCCAAGAAGACTAAAGTGCTGGAATGAAGAAAGGTGCCAGAAGAGAATATGAAATGAGGCAAGAGGGGCGGACTGGAGCCAGACCATGCTAAGATAACATCCTTGAGTCCCTCATTCCCATAGTTTGTTAGATTTGCTTTCCTGGCAGTGTCACAGCTCGGGGTTTCACTGAGCCTGTGATGTCCAGAAAGTCCCAACAGTGAACCTAACCACTGAATTTGATTTGGTTTACAACCAGTTTGGTTTGCGACTAGAACTGTATAAAGAACTAAGCTTGTGAACGGAGATACACTGTCGTTTCTAAGAGCCTCAGGCTGCTGTCCAGGGATGTCTGGAGACCTCTTGTAGGAGTCTGCCCATGCCACAGCTCAGATCCACTGCAGGCTCATAGCATGCAACTGAAATCTCACCTTGGCAAAGGCGTCTCTGCCGTAGCTAGCTTCTTGCTCTGTGTGCTGCTTGTCGATAATGTCACGGCCTGTGGCCACAGTACGGAAAAGAAGGGCTTTCTCCACCATGTCTGTCTTAGTAGAGAGCAGTTCTGCTATGATGGATACCACCTTGCCATTCTCAATAAGAGGTGTGTCACCATCCACTACAAACTTTAAATTTCCCTGTGTCAAAAAATGAAAAAAACACATGTCCATTGAAGTTCTGAAACTTTATGTCAAGAATGTATTTGTCAATTTAAATACAATTCTAGTGACACTATGTATGGCAACATTAAAAAACCTACACTTCACCTGTTGTTTCTCTCTTCTTTAGGCACTTTTCTGTCTTTTGATTTTCAGTATCTGGGTTTTTTTTTTTTTATTATTATTCTTTTTCCTTTTTATTGGTACTGGGGATTGAACTCACGACCGCCTGCTTGCAAGGCAGGTGCTTATGCCCCTGAGCTAAATCCCCAGCCCCTCAGTACCTGTTTTGATAAAAGTTCTACATTTTTATGCAATCAAATCTATGGATCTTTGCCTTGGGGGTTCTCTTTCTTATATGTCACTTAGACCATTCCAACCGCAAAGGTTTAATGAATATTTGATATTTTCTTCCAATACTAAAATAGTTTTTTCTTATTCGTTTAAACCTTTAATCCACTCGACTTATTTTGGTGTGTGTCGTAAAGTAACAACCTAAGTTTATTTTCAGATGGTTAGTGCTTTGGCAACATTTATTGAATAGTTAGCTTTTCCTTCAAATTTGAGATGACACTATTCATATATATTAAATTTCCTAAGAGTCTGAGTTTATTTATATTTTACTCACTTAATAAACAATGCTTATTAACCAACTACCAAATGTCTAGCATGTAAAACAATCTAGGGCCAGGCATAGAGCTCAGCAGCACAAGCATCTGTCTGACAAGAGCAACGTCCTGAGTTTGATTCCCAGTAAAACAAAACAAAACAAAACAAAACAAAACAAAAAAGCACAAATATTGATTAATTTGACCTGGTACTTAATTTGTACAACAAACTTTAAAGTGTTATAGCTTTTACTATCACTTTAAATTTAGAATTAAGTGTCTTTCTCCTTCTACCACCAAGCTATTCTTCTTTGATATGTTGTATCTTCTTACAGGCTTATTTTTTCTCTTGCCAAAATAGTGAGCTCAAGTTAAAAACAAAATAAAATCCATACTTGGATTATTTATAATCTAATTTGAAAACATGAGACAAATTAATATATATTAGTCTTCCTAGTCAGGAATATTTATTTGTAGCATATATTGCTATATAATATTTTCATATAGATCTATACCTTCTGCTTGCTTGTTTGTGTTTTGTCTTTTTGAGACAGGGTCTCACTATGTAGCTCAGGCTGGCCTTGAGCTCACTTTGTAGCCCAGAATGGTCTCCAACTTGTAACAATCCTCCTGCCTCTGTCTCCTGAGTGCTGGAATCACAGGCATGTGCCATGATAGGCCTCTATACATTTCTTGATTCAGAGTTAAATCTTGTTATATTAAAATGAAAGGTAATTTCTGGCTAGATTTGAATCCAGGTTGACACTGCAAGGTTATATACTCACAAAATTTTGAACATCTCTATACTAAGGGTAGTAGGGGAGCCCAGCACAGGGCTGCCTCCCTTCTCGGAAGTCGAGGGTCTGTGCACTGACTGCTCCGTAGTGCTAGCGCCACAATGAGCCGGCTGCACCTTTCAGGCAACCATGCTAGGCTCTGGGGCTCATTTCTCAACCTAAGAAATGAGATGATCAAATCCAACTCTAATTTATTTACAACTCTATGTTTCAAATGCCATTATAAATTCATTCCTTTAGTAGTAACATCATTGCTGAGTTATCGTCTCCTTGAAATTAACCAATTCAAGGTTTGATGATAGGGGTAAAACAATGAGTTAAAACCACAGTCCTGAATGGCTTGAAAAACCCCAAAATAATGGAGACAGTCAAAGAGTAATGTCTTGAAAATGTGAGCAAAGTTTTCTCTAAACAAATTACTTTTTAAAATTTAACTGTAATGCAACCAAAATCTTTTGAAGGAGCATTCTGCTTCCCTACGAAGAAAATGTATTCTGTGAGGTATCCCCTACTCACCAAGTGGAGAATAGCAGCCAAAATCTTATATACGGTTTGAATCTCCTCGGGTTTAAAGCCAATTACTTTCATGGCATCAGCTACTACTTTGAATTCTGCAGCATCATTGATAGAAGACTAGAAAAAAAAATGGAGAACTTAAGTCACCAATATTTCACATGAGCATCCAACTCAAAAGAGGGCACTCCTGGGTTTGACTCCCTGTATGCCAACCAAAACCAAAACAAACAAAAAAGTTGTTACCTATGTTTTCCATCTCTTATTCTATGCATTTATATACCTTCTCTCTCACAAAACAGGATAATGTAATTACTACTTTATAATCTACCATGAACAAACTAATGTATTATTAGTGCCGTAAAATGACAAGCAGAAAACTAATTAGAAACAAAGAGCAAAACTGTGCCTGCTTATGTGCACGCAAGCACTTATATAGAGAGGAAAAGGAAAAAAATGGATAATTCTGAGAGTCGACTATATGGAAATGCCCCAAGGTCAAAAAACTATTTCTAGGATATATCAAAATCAATATTAGAAAAAAATCCAAAAATGCAGTGAGTAGAGAATTAAAGTGCTTTAATTCAAGTTTGTCTTACCAACCTGCCTTTGGCTAAATCACATGAAATCTTAGAGGCAGACTTCCTAGTTCTGCTAATATTTTTATAGTATCAAATGGAATAGGATTAAAAATTAAGAGAATATAGAAACTTCTATATTCAGATGTTAGATGGTGACAAAATACAGCAATAGATTATTAAGCAAAGTTGTCAGTTCAATAATGTAATGCATCTTTGTATTTGAGAATTTTAAAAATAGAGAATAGAAGAGACATTTATCTGACTAAAGGCAGGAAACTCAGTCAGATAAATATTCAGTGTCCCTTCTGATCTTTGTCTGATTCTATATCTGAGAAATCTGTGAGAGGAAATTCTTACCTTTAATTGAGCTCCAACATGAATATAGTTGTAGGATGAAAGGGATTTTTGGAGATGTAGAGAGCGTAGTATCTGCTCTGAACCTCCTTGGAGTAGCTAAAGAACATTTAATTGGGAATAAATTGGTAAAATATAAATTGAAACTAAATATATCAAATATCCTAACAGCAGTTATCTAGCTTTTACTTATTTTCAGATCTTAATTCATTTAGGTCTTTCCATTTCTAGCTTTGAAGTTTGCATGTTTTAACCCTCAATGTCATCAGTTTTGAGGAATGCTGTCACACAGTCATGAAGAAAGTCACTTAAAAAGTCTCAGCTCATTCACAGATGTAATCAGTGTGGGAAGTTCTTGCTTTGAATGTGGTCATGTATAAAACAGAGTGCCTTGCTCTGAAGTGGCCATTTTCTTAGTAGTCTTATTAAAGAGAAGATACTGCTGTGTGTAAGAATACAGAATAAATTAGGCGGTGTAAGAGGCATCAGCAGACAGTCGGTGGTTAGTCACACGTATGACGAGGCAGACTTTCCTTGGGGAAGGAGGGCACCTGGGAGCCATGATACCAGCGTCAGTTTATCACATGTAAAAGTCACAAGGGAAGTTTTGAGTTCTTAAAATACACAGCTCTTTTGTAATGGGTAGAAAAATGTTTTATTGAAAACATGGCAAACTTTCAACAAAAACACAAATACAAAAGTGATAGCCCTTTTATACAGAGCATGACTTTGGAGGGCACTGTGTTCAAATTCTCCATACTAAATTGCATGCTTTGATGTACTTGAAGGTATAGTCATTAGATTTTTTAAATTAAATTTTTAAACAAATATACTAGCACGTGTATAAACAACTGAGTAGTGTTTATTAAAACAGCTTCCTAGCTGGATTCAATATTGTATTCAATTGCACTGTCATTATTCAATCACCTTCAGAGAAAGTTTACACATGGAAACCAACCCTATTCATTCACAGTTTTATTTTGTAAAAATACAAAATGATACTGTTTAATTTGATTACCCAACTTATTTATTAGCCTTGGTTTATATCACTTTGGGTTTTAAAAATTGTAATAATGTATCATGCTTATTCTCTGCAGGCAGATTTGCCAGCAGGAGAGATATTTAAAATGGTTTGTTTTAGATTCTAATAGCATTCCCAAAAGCAGCATTCAATTTTTTTTCCTATGCTGTTTTTCCCTAGGATGGGATATAAAGAAGACTATTTTCTCTCTGAGTTTATAAATACTGGTTATTTTTAAGGTAATCATATTGCTTTAATAATTGCTAAGAACAAAATAAATTTGTATTTATTTCATCTCTCCCAAATATAAGAACAAAAGTTTCAATTCAAAATAAAAATAAAATAAATTTTATAACTTTAGAATGTATCGTGGTTGTTAAACAGATATTTGCAAGGAAATGTGATTTTAAAAAAAGGAAATATAAGTGATGCTCAACCTAGCAGTCTTTGATTGGCTAACACCTGGCAGCTCTTACAATGGTTGTACAAATCAGATCACTTAAGATCCAAGAGGGGAAGGGTGTACGCATGTGTGTTACCATGCACCATGTGTGAGCTAATGTAAGTAAGAGAGGTACAGGACAGGGCAGAGTACAATATGAAAATATTCATTTGCTTCCCAATGGTGCACATGATCAAATCTCTTCATTACAGATTACTAACCTGATAGAAAGAATGAAAGCTTCTTTCTCCTGGCTGTTGCACAATCACTCGAGACTAAGAAAAAAACACATTAAAATGGTTCATCTAAAATTGTACTCACAAAATAAAATGGAAGCCACATTCTTAAGAGTTTGTTTGTTTAAATCTACATACAGTACACTTAAATGCCCTGAAGACTCTACATTGTACTCATTTAAGACTAGGCCTTTTTAACTTTCCGTGGCAATTTTTTATTAATTCATTTTTATTGCTTAAAACAGAGGTCACTAAACTTTCTAAAGACTAGAGGTGTTCTGACTTATTTTTTTAACTCTAGAGTCTCTAGATGGTCTCTATATTCTCAGCATTCCTCCCTCTGAGAGTTTCTAGCACTTCAAAGATCCATGTCAGTTGAGCAAGTTCAGTTCCTAGGGACCACTGTCTTAGATGGTTCAGAAAGAAAGACTAATATTAGAAGAGGGCTCAAAATGTGTTCAAAGTGATTCTTTTTTGAATATGTACATAAAGTGAAGTAATAACACATTCTGGGGGGAAAAAGACAGATAATACCAGGCATTTTCCTGTCACTTTTCAACTGACTGATAAATTATTCTTAAGAGTCTGACCTTAAAATGACAAGAGAAAACAGATTATTCTGTTTTATATTGCCATGAAAAATGTTCTGCAGTAACTATGACAGGCAACCCCTTAACTGCGAAGGCATCATCAGCTTAGGTCACAGCATAACTTGAGATGGAGACTCTACTTGTAAACTCAGTCCGAATGCCATGCGTCCTCGAAGTCAGGTGCAGTGATAATGAAGATTAGTTAGGACATAAGCTCTTGGCAGTCCCAAGGGGAAAGCTTTAATTGAACTTTTCTAGAGACTGGGCCTAACATTCACATAGGCAGATATAAATGTATTTTAAATTTTCACTGATCAAATACAGTATGCTTCCTAATTAGGAGGTAAGATCATGAAATACATACATGGTGCTATGAAACAGTGAATGAAGAGAATCTAGAAAGAAATTTCAAGTTAACTGAAATTAAAATGGATGCAAGACTATGATGGATAGAAAAACTAGCCCTGACTGGTTCTAAACTGGCTTTTGGTTAAACCTTATCTGAAAGTTGGCACATATTCGTATCCTTGCCCCCCTACATACACACATCTAAATCAATATCTAAGAAGTTGGTGACTTAATATTGTAAGTACTAGTAAAAGAACATAAAGGGCACTACTGTATCACAGGAAGCTAATTTGAGGATAATAAACAGGATTAAATGTTAGTTTAAGGCAATTAAATGAGACTCTACATATTTAATTATTTTTAAAACATTTAGCACATAAATACTACCCTCCGAAATTAAGCACATTTTACCTTCTCCAATAAGTAGTTATTGATATGTCCACCAATAGGATCTCCCTTGAAGTCAAAGTTGATGTCCATGTATTTTCCAAACCTGCTTGAGTTGTCATTACGATTGGTTTTGGCATTTCCAAAAGCTTCCAAAACGCAGTTGGACTTAAGCAACATATTCTTCACTCTTTAATACAGATACAAAAAAGTCACTGAAAAAGGTTTCAGAGACTAGGACTTTTAAAAAACTGCATTTTACTAAAACACATGCAAACATTTACACAAAGATGCTGACTGCAGTACTGTTTCAATATTTAAAAATACAAACAACTGATGTGGTAACCAATGGGGACAGATAAAAATATATTTTTGCTCCTTAATAGTGGAATGCTATCAAAAATGTTAAAAACAAAGTACATTATATATACTGACATAGGAAGATGTTCAGAATATATTGATGAACATGAAAACAAATTGAAAATCAGTATGTGATGCATGCTTTTTTGTGTGTGCGCACATGCAGTTGAGGGTCTTGTGCACCTACACAGTACATGTGTTAAAATCTGAAGGCAAAAGCATGTCACTCTGGTAATTTAGGTGAGAGGTTGATGAAGTGAGCAATGGTGAGATTTCAAGGAGTTTTTACTTTCAACTTAACTCTGTAATGTTTTGTTTTTTTCTTTCAACTGAACACATTTCATTTACATAAAACATTTAAAAAGATATGCTCTGGCTCTTTGCTGGCTCCGACTTGCTGTTTGCAACCGCCATGAACTGAGGCCCAGCCATGCCCGCCTGCCTTGGAGCCAACTGACTGTGGACTGAAACCTCCAAAAACTGCTCAGAGATAGTTTCTGGAGAAAGCTGTGATGAATTTTTCAGTTCAGTGAGAACATTAAAGGGACTTCAGGAGAGAATTTAGTAAACTCTGACTGAATACACTTGGAAAGTCTACACCTGCTCTAGAAAGGAAAACAACCCACTTCGAAAGTTTGCACTACTGGGACTTCTGGGAAAACATGGCAGACAGACAGCAGAGCCTACAGAGGCTCTCTGAGATACTCCGCTTAGAATCCAGGAATAGTGCAGTGTGAGGAGTCCTAAGCAAGGGGAGATGTACCCTGCTGACCCAGGAATGAACTAAGCTAAGAGAAACCAACTGGAAATGAAATCCTGGTGCTAAATCAGGAACAGATAAGGTCTCAGCGTGGAAGCTGGAGCCCACACCGCTGGAAGCCACGATTTGAATTTCCTGCTGCCACTGCTGTGTCTGAATCGGCACAGCAGGAAGAGAGACACGTGAAAACTCTGAGAGGGAACCAGCGAAAGGAGTTGAGAGTGGGACTGGCAGGGAGTGCTGCATCAACCTGTGGTGAGTGAGCGGGGACCCTATGAAAGGGGACCCTTTCATAGAGTAGGAGGCTTCAGCAAAGGACATACTGGGTCTGGGCAGACTTGCCAGAACAGGACGCTGCAGTGACTATAGTCGCATATTCCCCTCTCAAGCGGGATTGGTGAGGAGTGCTTGGCTTGGGTGACGCCGCTGACTAAGACCCAGTGAGCTAGCACAAATCAGGTACCAGTGCCTGGAAGTGCACCCTAGCAGTGAAGCCTTTGGTAGGCTGACCTGGAGGGGTGACCCAGCAGAGGCTGCCCAGGTCTGTGTCCCCTAGTACACTGCAGTGGGGGGGAACACCTAGCCTGGCGCAATTCAAACAAACTGTAACAGACAAAGAGAAAAAAAACTGGGCCTCCTATACTCGCCTGTATGGAAGGAACAAAAAATATGGGAAGAGGAAGCAACAACAACAAAGGGTCCTCAGTCCCCAATCCTGAGAACACTGATCCAGGAAAGGTGAATGGAAAGGAGAATGAGGACAGAAAACATGCAATATCAGACATGGCACCAACAGACATAAAGCGATATCTCCGGAGCCTCATAGACTAGTTCAAAAGTGAAATATTTAACGAAATAAAGCAATATATAAGTAGAATAGTTAGAGAAATGCTAAACACCGCCTAACAAAAAACAGGTGGTGGACTGGAAGAACAGAAAAAAAGGGGGAGAATTGTTTGATGGAGAAAATAGAGAAAACATAGAATACATGAAGCAGGTTCAAAGAGATTACCAGGAAACTAAAAACTCTATCGAAAGCTGACATAACAACTTGAAAGAAACTAAGGATAGATTATCAGAACTGGAGGACAGATTTGTAATGTGGGAGCATGAAATGAAAAACTTCTTAAAAATAACAAGAAAACAAACAGCAATAATACAAAGGCTAGAAGATGATAAGAGGATCTATAACTTAAGAATTAAGAATATAAAAGAAGAAGTAGGGACACAAACAAATGGACTACAAAAGCTATTCACAGAAATAATCCAAGAGAATTTCCCTAATTTAGCAAAAGGTAAAGATACTCAGATGTATGAGGCATACAGGACCCCAGCCACCTACAACCCAAACAGAGCTACACCCAGGCATATAATAATCAAAATTCCAGAAATCCAATATAAGAACAGAATATTAAAAGCCAGAAGAGACAAGAAACAGATCACTTACAAGGGAACACCCATTAGAATTACAGCAGATTTCTTGGCACAAACCATCAAATCACAAAGAGTGTGGGAGGAAATAATTCAAGCTTTGAAAGATAATAATCTCCAGCCAAGATTGATATATCCTGCATAAATGTCCCTAGAAATTGATGGAAAAACAAGGTGCTTCCAGGATAAAGAGGAACTAGGGGAATTTGCAACCACCAATTCAGCTCTACAGAGAATACTGCAGGATATTCTAAAAAAGAAAAATACCAAGATTCCAGAAACAATGACAGAGAGGCCACAATGAATGGAGCAGAAAGTGAAAAGAAGACAAATTGACAACTAATGACAGAAAAAGAGCTCAACAGAAATGAGGCAGAGAAGGTTGGATGGTAGGAACAGCTATTTTGGAGAAAACAAGACATCATAATAGCTCATGCTTATTTAATATCATCCTATTTTGAAGTCCCATCAAACTTTTATTCTTCTGTCTCCATCGGTCTTAACAGGTTGTATCTTATTGGATTTTATTATATGTGATAATATAAGCAAAAGCTTTTATAGACAAGGAGATTATACAGAAACCATTGTTCATTTTCTGATAGCTGGTTCTAAATATCCTGTAATACTGTCACTCTCTTGAATGGTTTTACATTGTCTGGATATGTTTGGTGCTACAGTATACGAAATTATATTCAAAGATTTCAAGGAAAGACACACTATGGTAATTACTTTTATGTCAGGATATCTTGTGGTAAAACACTATTTTGCTTAAATTGTTATGCTTTGACCTGCACTGTTTTGTTGTTATGCCCTCTTTTATCTTAATTTCCCTTTTTTAATTATTTACTTTTTATTTTTATCTTTTTAATTAAGGGAAAAATAAAAAATAGCAGGATACATTATAGTAACCCACTTTGATTTCCTATTAACTTGATTTGAAACCCTGTATTGCTCTCACCATCTTGTTTTGACTGATTTTTCCCTATTCTGCCTTGCTTGATAGTACCAAGTTCGAAAGTATAGGTAACAACTGTGAAGACAATAAGATTCATTATGACACCCATTCTGGTTGACTATTATCTTCTTTTAAAGTCCTGTAATGTCTCCAATGTTTTGGTTTTATTCTTTATTGTTTTGTTCAATTTTATTATAACTGATGATATAGGCAATTCTTCTTAAGATAGCAAGAGGCAGTATGGTAACCATTGTTGATCACCTTGTATTTTGTTTTTACATTATCTATTATGTCCATCCTTTTGATTTGACTGACTCTGTTCTGTTATGTCACATTTGGTTTTATTCTCTTCAAATAAAAGTAGTAAGAACTATGGGAGTAATAAAACCCAAAATGTGTAATTGTCATTGTACAAAAGAGAGGAAAAGAAAGTGCTCTAAAAAATATAACTGCATATATATTTAAGTGTATAAGATAGATAACCATATTACTGAGTTTTGTTGAATCATTGAACAAAACTGTTTGCAGTCTTACTGTTTGAAAGTCTACTTTATAAACTTTAATTTTGTAACTTGAACAACTATTTCTAAGATGATAATATGTAATCTATTAACTTGTGATTCCTTACTGTTTATTCTTTTTGAAATTCTGTATAACTTGTACCCTTTTTCTGTTTTTTTTCTTTTTCTCCTTAAATAAAATTTTTTAAAAAAGATATGCTCTGAAAAGAAGAAGAGGTGATAGAGAAAAGATAAGCCACTTTAAAGTATGTGTTTATAAAGTTTAGAATGTCGAGATTTTATTGCACTTAGTTATCCATCATAAATTTAGTTTTTACTAATTGAGAATTGTTCATTATTTTCTTTAGAGCTGTATGTGATCTCTTCTTCATAGCAGTCACGTAATGCATTCTTATTTTAATGGATGCTAACATTTAGTAGACAAGTCCCTCTCAATAGAAACATCCTACCTTCATGCATCTCCTTATGTCCTTATTTGTATTTCACTGACAAAATCCTCTCAAGAGTCATATCTACAGAATTAACTGTGGCTTCTGAAATAACCTGATACAGCAGATCTAGTTCTTCCCACAGAGAACATAAATGATCCTTCATCTCCTCATGATTGAAAGTACTGTACACTTCCAAAATTTGGTGTCTGTGTGGGGGGTACTGCTTGCTTCTTAAAAAGGGAGCTGTGATAAGCCATTAAGATATTCCTGTGAAAGACTAGTAAATTTACATTTGTCTTACTGCACTAGACAGTACTAGAATCAAATAGGTTCTCTGTACTCTCCCAAGCTCCCAAGGAAATTAAGAAACTCCATCAAATGTTGGCCCCTGTTTTATTAAACTGCAAAGTCAGAATCAGAAGTGGGGATATGTCAAAGTCAACTGTTCTAGCAATTCTAGCAATTCTGCTCAACTGTGATGAAAAAAGAAGGCCCACATAAGGTTCTTGAGTGTAAATTCTCTTCTTTCACATCAACTCAGTATCTTGTCTTTCTGTTCACAAAACAAAAGGCTGTGATGTGGACATGACATGTAATTCTTCAGTAAATTAATATTCAGCTTTAAAGCAGCCAATTAGGAAAACATTTTTTTTCAAAATAGCTTCATTACATGAAAAAAAATAAGTTACATTAGTTTATAGCCAAATACTTTAAAACCCACTCATTTATTCCTTGCATATTTATTAAGCAAAATAGCCTAGGAGCCAAAACTGTGTAAACCTGGGGTCCTAGCTGGGTGTGATAGTACATGCTTGTAATCCCAGCACTCTGGGAGCTGAGGCAGGAGTATAAATTCAAGCGTGGGCAACTTGGTGAGATCCTGTCTCAAAATAAAAATAATTTAAAAGGGCTGGGAATAGCTTGATGGGAAAGCTCCAGGTTCAATTCCTAATACTAAAAAAAAAATGTGGGGGCTGGGGATTTAGCTCAGCGGCATAAGTGCCTGCCTTGCAAGCAGGCAGTCGTGAGTTTGATCCCTGGTACCGATAAAAAGGAAAAAGACAAAAAAAAAAAAAAAAAAAAAAAAAAAAGTATGAGGCCCCAGATGGCACAGACTGGCTTTACTGATCATCTCACCATATGCAGTGGCCTGGGATGGCATGAGATCCTTTTAGAAGGAAATCTTCCTGGAGTTTCCCCAGCAGTGGTTTCTGGTCATAACAATGATGGAAAGGCATGGGTCTGCCTTCCACAATCCTGCTTCACTCAGAATATAATTTAAAAAAACAAAGAGACAGGGTTGGGATTTAGCTCAGTGGTTTGGGGAGCTTGCCTGGCCTCACTACAAAACAAAAATATTACATCACAAAGAGATGGGAACCTTGCTTAAATAATAAAACCTCCCAGTGTAAATTATAACAATTGTGCTGACCCACAGTTATATATTACAATGGAGATACTTTCAATTGGCTCAGAGTAGTCTTTTAAAAAATAATTTGATAAGCTTACCTCAGTAGTGTTTTTCTATTAAATAACAAATCTAGAAATGGACACAGTGATACAAATAAAAGTCGAGGCACAATATGCAGTCTGATAAAGTAGATGAAACATTTAAAAATGCTAGGCACATGCAGTGTAGACCTAGCTGAACCTGTACAGAAAACAAAGCTCTTTTCAGTTTCCTCCCACTCTGCAGTGCTCTTACCTTTCAACCTCTGCTCTCTGGCTGGGGTTGGTGATGGCTGCAATGTACTGCATAATGTACTTACTGGCTTCCGTTTTACCAGCTCCACTTTCCCCTAGAGGAAAAAATTTAACATCACCATTGAAACCAAGAGTAAAGTAATTTCCATAGAATAACTTTAAATTGTGGTGTAATTCATTTAAATTCCCTGTGTTGCAATTTTTTTTGCATTTATTTTGTCATACATTGATTCTAACAGATTTGAACATGTTGGGAGAAAAACTATTATAGAAGTAAAATAAAGCACAGACCACAAATCAAGACTTGTTAGGAAAACAATATCAAGGTATGAATTGTGGCCAACTGCTGGATGTGGTGATGCATGCCTGCTCTCTATGAGGCTGAGGCAGGAATTTGAACTCTGCCTGGGAAACTTAGTGACTCAGCAAGATCTTGTCTCAAAATAAAATAAAAAGGACTCAGGGTATAACTCAGTGCAAAAGCCTTGGGTTCAATTCCCAGTGCTGGGGGAATAAACTGTGATAATCTAACTCTTTAGAGTTTACCACTAGGCAATGATCCTTAAGCCTAGTATAAATAAAATAAGGTAGTGGGATAGTGGACACCGCTAAATTCATATAATCTTATTTTTGATACTTTTTCATTTCAAAGGTGATAACATAATTGTTTTTTTAAAAAACTAAATTTAGAGCCAGGTGCCATGGTGTACAACCAGAAAACCAGCTAGTTGACAGGCCAAGACAGACTGCTGAGCTTAGGAGCTCAAAGACCAGCCAAAGTACCACAGTGAGATCCTGACTCTAACCAAAACAAAACAACTTACAGTGACTTTAGGAACACATAAAATGGTAAGTCCCAACATAAGATATCATTACAATACCATGACAATTAGGATAAGTGGTGGTAGAGGAGGAACAGTTTCTGAACTGTTTGCAAGTTCCACCTGTATCTTCTGACTCAAATATTTAACTGAAAGAAACTTCTCCTATGGAAATATTTAAAAGTATTAACAAATCAAGTAAGAGCAACAATATTCTTCAGAGGCTTAAAAAATGTTCTGCAGATCACACTATCTGTCAAGTAGCTGGTTTTCTGCTTGTACACCATGGCACTTGGCTCTAAATTTAGTTTTTTAAAAAAACAATTATGTTATCACCTTTGAAATGAATGTATGTTGCACCTAGAATCTGAAAATAATAACCCTGTAAGTAGAAAACTGGGTAAACAAGTTAGGATTTAACTATACAGTTGCCCACCACAGGACTGTTAAAAGACAATGTGCAGCCCCAGAGGAAGTCTGATGAAGCAAGGTCCACAGTACCTTGCTGAACGGAGAAATAAGTCCTGCAGTGGCAACTGTAATCCTTTAATTCTATGGTTTTATTTTCCTTTACAGTTTTTATTTTTCATTAGTACATTTGGAGTACACAATGATTACATTCGTTGTGGGAAGCCGGTATACGTACACATCTTAATTTTTCCATTCCCTTCTCCTCCTCTCTTCCTTCTCTTTTGGTCCCCTTCGCTTTTGTAAAAGATCTGTTTCTCTATTCCCTATTATCTATCTTTTAAATTGGTCTTTATTTATATTTTGGGTTTCCCACGTAAGAGAAACCATATATTTAAGCTTACACGTCTGATTTATTTTACTTAACATTATGGGATCAAGGTGCATCTACTTTCCTATAAATGACTCAAAGTTTACTCTTCTTTATGGCAAAGTAGTACTCCACGGTGTATAAATACCACCTTTCTTTATCCATTTACCTGTGGCTGGTCCAAGATTTAGCTACTATGAATTGCACTGCTGCAAATATAGGTATGTGCATTACTGTGATGTGTCTTTGGGAAGACGATAGCCGTGTCAAATAGAACAGTTTTAGGTTTTTGAGGAATCTCTGCCCTGATCTCCATAATGGTCCACTGGTTTTCATTCCTGCTAACAATTAGCAGGGTTCCCTTTCCCCACAACCTTATCCCCCACTTGTTATTTTATTTTCTGGAATAAGATGGAATCTCAGTATTGTTTTAACTTGTATTTCTCTAGTGGCCAGTGACGTTGAACATTTTTTCATGTATCTATTGGACTTTTTCTGAGAAGTATCTATTCATTTCAGTTGCCCTTTTTTTGACTGGGTCTTTTATTTTGGGGAGTCTAATTTTTTTGAGTTCTTTATATATTCTAGATATTAGTCTCTGTCTGAGAAATATCTGGCAGAATTTTTTTCTCATTCTGTAGGTTGTTGCTTCACTTTGTTTTTGGTTGTTTCCTTTGCTGTCCAGACATTTTAATATGATCCCATTTGATGTTTCTTGATGTTATTTCTTGTGCAACTAGGGTTCTATTCAGAAAATCTTGGCCTATGGCTATGACTTTAAGAGTTTTATCTAATTTATTTTCTAGCAGATTAAGCATTTCTGTTTTAACATTTCGATCTTTGACCCATTTTGATTTTAGTTTAGTACATGGTGAGATATATGGGTTTAGATTTAATCTTCTGAACGTGTATAGTAAATTTTCCCAGCACCGTTTTTTAAGCAGAACTAATATAGCAAAAATTGACATATTTCCAAAGCTGTATATAAATTTAACACAATTTCAATCAAAATACTAACAGCATTCAACATAGAACTAGGTAAAACAATACTAAAATTCATACACAACCAGGAGACTCAGAAGAATAAATGCAATCACAGGAGCAAAGGAGAAGGAATCACAACCCTGGACCTAAACTTAATATTGTATTTCCTATATAATACATATATGTACCCAAGTCTGTGTACTTGCATACACAGAAGCATGTGTAAAAAGACAGATACTAAACAGCTGTTACTGCTGGAAAGGTGGGGACCAAAGTATTCAAGAGACTGCTTTTATTTCAACTACCTATCTAATTGTTCCCCCTGCCTGCACAACCGGGCAGCACTGTTGTGTAATCTGATTTACTACATGTCATCCTAGGATATACTTCTCCTCCTCCAACAGTTATAAAAAAAAAAAAAACTAATCTGCATTTCTAACCAAAATAAAACACTGGTCATATAAGATATTTTTCTCCATTACCGGGAGTGAAACCCAGAGCTTTGTGCATACTAGACAAGTGCTCTATTCAAGTACAGAACCTCCCTAAAAGTATTTTTTAAGAGCACAAACCCACCAATGCAAATGGGAGGTATAACTAACACTGAAAGAGGTTGCCAAGGTTGGGAAAGGCCGTAGGCTAGCCAGCAGATCTTCACTTCACTGGCCCTTGATTCACAGCACAAGGTGCCCTGGAGGGCTCAGCTTGCCATGGGTAGGCGACTTTCCTTCTCCTACATGGCTGGCAACCCACACCGCCTTACTGGGCCCTGAAGCCCACGTCTGACCCTCAGACTCTACGTGTCCTCCATAACAGCTCCCAAGCACCTGTCTGACTTTAGTTCAGTTTTCATATTTGGCACCTAAATATTTCACTTTCTTGCTTTCACTGGTACTATTTGAAATACTTGTTGCTACACTTCATCTGTTTAAGGTAGGAAGCATATCTCATCATAGTTCAGTCTACAAACTAACCGGTCTACAAACTTGTTATTCAAGTTTGTGTGTGTGTGTGTGTGTGTGTGTGTGTGTGTGTCTATATTTCTTTCTTAAGAGAGGGGATTTTGCTGTGTTACTCAGGCTGGCCTTAAACTCCTAGACTCAAGTAGTCCTCCTGCCTAGAACCAAAACTACAGAATGATCAAAAATGTATAGAGAATTTGTGATTTAATGTACTTCCCTTTCTTTTAGTCCCTAGTGTTGCTTACGTTTTTAACCTTAAAAAAAGATTTCATCATTATGTAGATGCTTAAGTATCAAATAAGTTAAATACATTTTGACCTTGGATGTACCAGGACCCTCCTCCAAATACCTGATATAACAATACAGGTGTCTTTTGATCGCCTCTTCATAGCCTTGTAAGCAGCATCAGCAATAGCAAAGAGATGAGGTGGTCTCTCATATAGCTCACGTCCTTTGTACTGCTCGATTGTGTCCCTCCCATAGATGTTCAGCAACTTGTAAGGATTCACAGAGACGACAACTTCTCCAATAAATGTATAGATACGTCCTTTCTCAAATCTGCACAGGAATAAAGGCAAGAGAATACATCGCTGTGGTTATATAGAAATACTATATCTTTGCCATAAATCTCTTATCTCCAAGCAAGTTCAAATATCCCTGACATTTCACTAGAACTGAGTTTACTTTGAAAGATTAGTATCAGGATATGCCATTCAAACGTCATGGTAGAAAAGACTGGAAAGGGTTAAAAGTTAGGCAAGAGCAGGAGAATCATTTGTAGTTTGAGACTAGTCTGGGCCACAAAGTAAGTTCAAGGCCAGCATAATGAGACCCTGTCTCAAAATAAATAAAATAAAATAAAATAAAATAAAATAAAATAAAATAAAAGTCAGGCAAGAGGAAGAATTTAACTTCTTAGAGGACAGGGATTTCCTGTTTCCAAAATATAGAATAGTAAGAAGAGGGAAAAAATAGTTGAAGAAAACCTCAGAGTTCTAGGAAGAAAAGAAATACAAGTTAAATTAGGTGTTGAAATTCACTTAGCTGAATTTTTCAATTATAAGAAGCCTGTCCATATACATTTGCTACCTCCTAAAACCTCACTAAAATGTCAGTAAGAACAGTAAAATCCTTAACAGAGAGAATGGCAGAGGAAACATTTCTTATATAAATCAAATTTATTTACTTTTTAGTGTCTGCCTAAAACTCTATGATGTAGATATATCATGATTTATTCAACAATTCCTCTTTCCTTCTGTGTCTATGAATAACTATACAAATCAGTTCCCTAATAAGGAAAAATTTTCAGAAATGAGGATGGGTTGCTGGTGAAAAGGTAGGTGTATTTTTAAAGATACATATAATATGATCCCATTTTTTTCATCATAAAGCAAAGGTTAAAGAACTTTGCCATGTGTGGATTTATGTATCTGTGTACAGATATATTAATAATACTTGTACTTAATAAGCGAGTACATGAGCATGGAAAAATACGGACAAATACATATTATGTTTTGTGCATTCTGGCACACATAGGCAATGCAGATGGAAGGAAATGAGGGAGAAGGCCATGCAGGTAGGTGGGAAGAGGACACAGAGACAAAAGAAACAGAGTCAAAAGTTCCATGACTGCAATTGTAAATACAGAGACACACAAATTTATACAAGGAAAAAACGACAATATAAAACTTCAAAAACCTGTATGTATCCAATACACGGTAATCCACACCTGTAAATATATGTGAACCAGAGCCTGACTGCTTCTACCCAAGAGGCTGCTCTGGCACACTCCTCATGCTGCCGGGTGCATCTAAACACCAGTGTGTCCATGAGGCTGGGTCTGGGATCCCTTGCAGATACCAGTCTTTGTGGATGTTCCAAGTGTCTCATATAAAATCTCACACTATTGCATAGACCTTACATATATCCTCCTGTATACTTTAAATTGTTTCTAGGTTACTTATAATACCTAATACAATGTAAATGCCATATAAATAGCTATGTTGTACTGTTGAGAGGATAATATGCAAAAAAAATCTATAAATATTCAATGAAGATGCAGGTTTTTTCCCAAAATATCTTTTCATATACAGGTGGCTGAGTTGAAAGACACTGACTGCATGGACACAGAAGAACAATTGTGTTTCACTAAGGATTGAATGCAGCACACACATTGGCAAAATGCTGGTCCTCAGACAGCGAATCTCTAAGCACTGTTGCTGTGTGGCTCAAGGGATAGGAAAAATGACTAAGCATTTGGGACCAACGGGCAAGATTCTTAAACTTCCTTTAAGCTGGAATGAAGGATATGCGCTATAATTAGGAGTGGAAAGAAACAGATGCGGATAATGTCAACAATAAATAAAAATCAAGATTTTTATCAAGCAGATAGTACATTTATTAACTACTTTGAGGTTTCCGGTGCATTTTTCTACTGTGATTTTCCAGTTTTTCTCTTTATTGTTAGAAAATTTATATGTTAACTAGAAGTACAGACACTGGAGTCCTTCACATCTGGTTCTGAATGCTTACGTTTACAAACTTAATACAGTGAGACCTTGTGAAAACTACTTAACTTCCATGTGTCTGGGCTTCTCCATTAGTGAAATGGTAATAATTGTCTCCTGCTACCCCCGTGGCATGTACTAAATGCTTTTTTTAGAAAGTCAGTCTTATACTTCTGATTATGTTATGCATGGAGATTTTTAATGCTTTTATTTTACTAACGTTGTTACTGAAGTTATAGCAACCCAAATTAACTTAGTTTCCAGTCAGTTAATTCCATGTCATCAGTAAAATGTTTATACAACTCATGTTTAAAGACTTACAATAATAATGAAAAAATTAGATTCTTCACTCATGTCTTTCTGGCTTAACCTGTATATTAGCAGTAGACATTCACTAGGTATCTCCATCTTAGGAAAACAATTAAAAGGACAAAATTCCCCAAACAGAAAAAAAAAAAAAAACAAATGGTGAAAAGGAGCAAAAGAATGCTATAAAAGCATTTTATTTTATGAGCCTAATATTTGTGACTAGGAACCACAGCAAATATGTCTGAGTTAGATTATGGTTCTAGGGTTCCAGGTCCATCCAATAATATATTTTGTTTCTCAGTGGGTGAATTTGGACCCATTAATATATGATTCTTTTCTGAAGTTCTATTTTAGTTCATATAAAATGTTTTGTTTATTAAAATCTCTAGACATCATGTTTGCAAAATACAATTAAAATACATGCATAAAACAATCATTACAAATCATGCATAACTATTAACTTAAAGATAGTGGGAGAGGCTCAACAAAATACAGCAATTTGGAAAACAGTAAAAGCTCACCTTATTTGAAATTCTAAATTTGGTTAACAACATGAAATTTTCTATTTGGGAATGTCTCAAAATCACCACTAGATGGTGCTAGTATACCCTTTACCACCAACTCAGGATTTCAGGAAGCTTTGGAAAGAAGGTAAATACAATCAGGAAGGTCCAGCAATCACCTGTACTGTTCGTCTCCAGAAGGAACTTCAGTAATTATCCATCCTAGGAAACACATAAGGTGATACCATCCCTTATAGGAGAACAAGGAAGATATTTCTATGACGGTATGTAAACCTTGTAGGACAAACTTCCATAATTCAGTCTTCAAATACTTATTCAGTACCTAGTCTGTGCCAGATAATAGGCTAAATTCAATCTGTGAGTTAAAAGTTGGAAAAATACTTTTAAAAGCAGGGAAACACAGTAAACAAATAATAACAATAGAGTATGATAGGCATAAAAACATAGCAGGGGGTTTAGTTCAGTGGAACAAGCGCCTGCCTGGCAAGAGCAAGGTCATGAGTTCAATCCCCAGCACGAGAACAAACAAACAAACAAACACACACCATAAACTGTAGTGGCAAAAATTATCCTAGCAGACCACTCTGAATAAGAAATCCAAAACCCCATACATTCCTTCCTGCTGGACTCCCAATCTCCAACATTTTCATCTACCAAAATCTTCCCCTGCCATCTCCCTCTGTCTCCGTCCTGCTCTCACATTAATGAGTTATTTACAGTTCTCAATGGCACCATGCTTTCACAGTTCTGCCTATGGGGTTCACTCTGTCTTCAGTGCCCTTCCTGGTCTCTCCTTCCCATGTAGGCCTGGCAGCTTCCCACTCCTTCTTCACTTCCTCTCCAGTTCCTTTGTGGAGTCACTCTCTGTACCCTATCTCTAACACTGCTTTGAGCATCTTTGCTCAGCTCATTTCTTTTTCCCCTTTAGAGCTCCCCAAGTGGCTAAAACAGCTTAACAACTATTGCTTTAAAAGAAAAGTTTAAAAATAGTTATGGAAACAGTTAGATATTTTCATTGACTTTTAAATCAAAGAGGTTCTAAAAAGTTTTGAATTAATGTGTAGCAATGAAGAGGATATAAAGATAATGTCTTTGGAGAACAACAGCTTTTTGTACAGAAACTGTGAAATAGTTGTTTTAAGGTAGCCTCATTAACTTACATGTGTTCCTTGTACACAAGATCAACCACAGTAGGAAGTTAAATGCGAGTGGCTCCTCCAGATCAGTGGTCACGGCAGACTATGTGCCTAGCCCTACAGAAAAGTGTGTATGTGTGTGTTTATCTGTAGGGCAGGAAGGTGGCTGGCACAAACAGGGTAGAAGGCTTGTGTTACAGCCTATCAGTAAAAGAGCTGAAAATATATGATGGAGTCAGAGTTGATATGATAGGCTTTGAAAGCCAAGCTGAGGAAGTTACATTCTGCATCCTTTTAAAATGTTTTATTTTGAGACTAAATTGTTCAACTGCCCAGAGTAGGCGCAAACTTGTGTACCTCCTGCTTCAGCATCCCTAAGTGCTGGGATTGCAACCCTGTGCCATCACACCTACATTTGATGTGACTAGAAACAAGAAATTAGCAAAAAACGTTTCCAGGTAAACAGACCAATAAGGTTTTCAGTGAGGGCAATGACAACAGAAATTAAGGAAGGAGAAATTATTTCAAAGGGAAACTGGACAGATTTTGAAAACCTACTGAACACATTGAGCTGCATATTAGAGCAAAAGGAATTTGTTTATTTCAGATTATATTTCACATGTACTTCTGAGCTTCTAAATTAGACGTACCCAACTAACAGAACTATTACCCTTGATTGACTTCTTGAAATACAAGAATTAAATTCATGAATTGAGGTACTGTACATGAAACCAATTATAATCAGAAGGAAAATTCTCTGTGGTCTACTGTGTATTTAATAAACTCTTTAATCATAAGTATTACTCATTCGTTTCATGAAGAACATATAACTTTCTGAATAGATGTTGCTTAATTACATTGATCTGATTTCCTTGTTTAATGCAAATGAAATCTTAAAGGCTGAACTCATCCCTTTTTCCAGATGTTTGGCAATTCACCACCATCTTTTGCCTTATGTTCTCAACCAACTGCAATGTAGGTGTTACTTCCACACTTCGATAAATACTAATCAAACTCCAAAGTAAGCTTCAAAGAAACTGCTAAGTTCAAGGTTGAATTCTGTTTCCTCTTCTCTGAGTTTC